GAAGATAATAATCAAAGAGGTAACAGAGGCAAACAAACACCCTTTCATTCCCCAGTAATATGTTGTATTAAACAATGTGCCTTTAAATGACACCAAACTAATTTACGCCATACATTGAATAAGAAACTTGGTTGCATGTCCTATTTTCTAAGCATCATGGATGCTATGTTTCATTTTATAATTTAATCCTCTTTTATAAATATATTGTTTTACTTAATTAATCGTCTGATTTGAATTTGCAGGTACATCAACTGCCATTAAGCCTTTAATCAAATTATGAAAGGATTGCTAATGAATAAGTACACTGTTCACGTAGGATGAAATATATGGATATAATGAACAGTATTCAAGCTCAGAAGTCCATTAAACAATACAAATTTTGAAGCAGAGCAAATACGGACCTCCAAAACATCAGAGGAGGGATAAGTTTCCATGGAGGAGTGAGCACCCTCTGCCGACCGGTCACACCCGCTGTGTGCTCCTTGTCATTATTGTGTATAAAATGGCCTGACAATTAATAGGAAAAGCATCAGTCAGCATTTGACGTATAATTATAAATTGTATTTGTTGACGAGGTCATTGTATCGAACATAAAACTTACGTAATGATGACTTTAAATAAGACTGCTGATATTCTTGTTTCAGCAACTTGTTTGTCAATAATTTACCTACTAGTATGTGTAGATTTAAAAATTGTTCATAATTAGAGCATGCTCTAGCGTATCGAATCAACTAAGAGATATATCAACCTCGTATGCAGGTGATGAGGTATATTGCTGCATAAGTAATGGAAGTTGACTATAGAAAAGTTAATGTCATCACGTTTATCATAAAGCTTGGATGTTAGATAACCATTAACATCTTTTTCCAGTAAAATATCTAAGTATGAAATAGATGTGTCAATCTCTGTGGTATACCTTTTATTTCAACTTATCAGGGACAAATTGTATCTAGAAATAACCATTTTAAATTGACAATATATCTAAATGTCGAGTTTAAAGCCACATGCAATAGATGTTTTCTTCTTTTCACGTAGAAGATTTTTAATTAAATTCTGGTTCAAATATATGAATACAAAATAGGTTTAATTAAATTCTGGGGCGAGGATGGTTATCATGGAAATTCCAACAGATTGTTGGAGGACCTTGTCTCCAAAAACCAAAGAGATATTGTCAATCAGAAACTCAAGCATCTTTTTATAAAATCAACTTCATAGTACTTGTGTTTACAATCAGATTGTCTTTAACAAAGAAATTTTGCAAATGGCCAATGACAAGGTTTGTAAATTTACGAGTTTCGTTTTTATTGAAAAGCTGTCAATGATATCAAAAAGCCTGAACTTTATTTTATCGTGGGGAACGGTTGTATATAAAGTTGAAAAAGTCGTAAGTTTTTATGCTGTTGATATTGGTAAAATTTTGTGATTTCAAATTTCCCATATGGTATAAGTTGGATTACCACTCGTAGAATCCAATTCTAGTTCATCTAAAATTCAATTTAATAATGAGCTTTTCAAACAAACACAAAGTTGTTAACAGTTCTATCAGCAAGGACCAGTACATACTGATCGTGTAATCTAAATTTTTTTTACTTCTGAATTAGTGAATGCATAAGAATTTTCATCCTTGAGTCAAATGGGGGTTGAATAGGTTTTTCCTACAAAATAATTCTTGTTACCAGAACCTGTTACTCTTAGTACGCAATGGCCAAAGGATTTTGCAAGATATTTTTGGGAAAAGTAGATGTGCAATATTAAGGGACTCCGACCCTCAGCCACCGAAGGACAACTCTTTAATTTATAATTTAATTCCAAAAGTCTTTAAATGAAGCGTTTTAAAGGAATTTGAAAATTAAATCTTTTCATTCAACAATTTTTATTATATACCTCTCAATGTGCTTCAAGGTTCTTTAAACTTCTCAGAAAGGTCTGTTTAAAAGTAGAAAATTTTATTAAAAAGCGTTTTTAATACCAATGTTTATTAACATGATATGAAATTAGAAGTAATTTATGGAGGTTTGCAAAGAACCTTGAAGCATATTGAGAGGCATATAAATGAAAATTGTTGCATGAAAAGACTTAATTTTCAAGCTTCATTTAAATACTTTTTGAATCAAATTATAAATTAAAGAGTTGTCCTTCCTGACTAGGGTTTGTAGTCCCTAAAGTTTCAAATGTTACCTATTTTTCGCCCTTAAGTTGAATACAGGGCGAAAACTATTTTATTTAAAAAAAAAACAAAAACAAGCTAAATCATCCTTAGAAATGTACATTTGTAATTGTTAGTGCCCTGTAGATGTGCAATAAGGTATTGGATTTTTTATTTTTGATATATGGACCAGGATCGAAAAAAGAAGTTCCTTTAACCAAAGAAACTCTCTTTTCCAGAACTCCTTTTACATTTTATACAGAAGCTATATAATCGTTGGAAGTTGATTGGTCGTTGCCTGGAATGTAAGGTTTCGGGATTTTTATTTTCAACATGGGCTAGTTGGGGATAAAAAAAGATGCACAAAAATCTGGTGCTGGATGCATTGTATCATTTGTGGTAAGAATACTTTAGGCTGTTTTTATCCTTATCCATCTGTCTGTCCATCTGTCACTATTTCTTCTTCCTCAAACCCTTCTTGCAATTTAAGCAGTAACCAATTCATCTTGCGGTGTGATATATGATAGTCAGTGTGTTTTAAGACTTTTTAAGACTTTTCAGTAACAACTACAATTTTAACAGAAATCTGGTTCCAAGAACTCCTCATACATTTGACACAGCCCAAAATCATCATTTGGAAGGTAAGTGAAACTTTCTTTTAGAATCAGAATTTATTTCATTACGATTTTTAACTTCAAACTGGTCAGGTATTCTTAAAATAAGAGGATCGTGTACCATACGATTACAAGTACTTGGGCAAGTTTGGCTCAGTTTGATACATGTAATATACTTTTCAAGCAAGTTATATAATACATTGTAGTTATTGTGGCTTCTTGGCTACCCAAAAAACAAGGAAGCTAGCTTACATTTAGGGGAAAACGTATGTGCAGGTTTTACTGTCTTATGACAGTATCTAGATCATACTATTGAAATGTTTACAAGTTCCTTCATATTCCTGGAAAGACTTTATCTGCACACAAATTATTTTAAAAATTAATTATAACAAGGAGAGGAAATAAGTGTTTTTAATTATCAGTATAAAAGACAATAATGATACAACTAGATTATAAAGATATAGTATGAACCAAAAGCTTTAAAAATTCAAAACTTGAACTTTCATATATTACAGTTCCTAAAATGACAATTTTATAATACTGATAGAAAAAGAGCATATAATAATTTCTCCAAATATGACAGGAAAATGCACCAGTTACAATCAACAACAAAATAAATCTTCAACAATCATATAAGTAAGTCTTTTTTTAGTATAAAATCACTATATTTAAATCATGAAATTGTGACTGTAAAATCCTTTTATCACAGTAATGAATTAATACTGACATTGTAGGCTAAGTCGTGCTCCATAACAGTATATAGCTGTGTAATATCTATACAAGATACAAAAATAACTAATCTACCAGAGGCAAAGTAAACATTTGTAAACATAAAAGTTTTAAAATTATTGCTTCTAACCATTCATAAGCCCACACCATCTTCATACTGTTTACTTTATGTAATGCCACAATCACGAAATTCATACAGCAATCATCACAATGCATATTGTTCAGCTAGAGTAATAGTAATTATAAAATTGCAGTTGCATTATCTAATTGCTAAGTGTTTATCAAAAAGATTTCATAAACAATAGATTTGCTGTTGTGTTACACTAAATTGTATTAAAAAAAACAAAACAAAATGAATGCCCCAATGTACATTTCTTCGTGTTGATCAGTAAGAAATGGAAATGGAATTTTCTGGAGAAAAACATAATTTTTCAACTCCAAATATTATGAATAACAGAAAATACATCATGTCTAGTTTTTTTTCCACCCACTGAAGTACAATCCTAAAACCACAGAAATGTGTACCATGAAATGCATGTACACACATAAGAATACCAACTTATAAATAAACATTCGACAATTCCTAAATTGTCAAAGCAAATTATACGTATGATCCTGGTTTAAAGATTACTTGGTCAAAGTCCTAGTAACAGTAATTTTAAAAAGTCTTTAATTCTTCACACTCACTAATAAATTGTTAATAGCGAAATTAAGATATTCATGCTCTGCAAAGGTTACCATTGTCCAAACCTAAACCAAGGTCATTTTGACAAGGTCAAAGTCAAATTTGTTGTCAAATGAAAATTTTTAATTTTACAGTCACATCTCTTTCCCCATAGCAATTTCAATCCTAGTTGTATTTTGCAATTTTTGTAAAATTGAGATAATATTCAAATATTTTTGTTTTTTAATTTAAAATGTACTTCCCTTAAGTTGAAAGCATTTCTATTAACTTCCTATAAATATACTATATTTTATAATACGAGGTATAAATATACAAAGAAATTGAATGTTTTCTTGAAACTCGACAACCTGATATTTAAAAAAAATTCTGATCTAAAGGACAAGGGTATAATACTGTAGATCACTCAATTTTTGCGACACCTTATTTTCGCGAGATAGTCATTGACTCTTGTTTAGCGAGACATAATTTTCACGAATTGTGGTTATTGCTCTATATAATCTTGAGGAATGCTATTATACGCGAGAATCAAATTTTCGCGAGCACACTGTCTCGCGTAATTACGCGAAAATAAAGTTCTCGCAAATATAATGTGATTTACAGTAATATGTATTTCCAAAAAGTAATAATTGCACAAAATTTTGTATTGCACAAATTTTGTTAATACAAATTACAGTGTACACAAGTTTCATCTAGATGCTATAATTTGATCTTTGTTGTTGTTGTTTTTCATCACATTTAACCAATGATTATTACATTGGTAAAACAAAGTCTTGGGTCGAAAAAGATTGTCAAACTAATTTTGAAGTGTTTCTTTTCTCAATACATTGATATCTTGTCATTTTTTTTAATCCTATTTTGATTTATTGGATCCTCACAGTGGAACACAGTGGATCATTTATAATTTTCTCATGAATTTCAATAAACAATGGAACATAAGTGACATAGTCTAGAAAATCCACATAGCCTTTGCCCTCTCTGTTGAACTTGCCCATTACCTAAAGGGGGAAAAAAGATGGAATAAATAACACACTGAAATAGAACTTGAAATATGCACATATCCTTTGCTGAAATTACAAGTTTCTGGAGAAATATTTATATTCACAGACTACTTACATAACTGGTCAGTTCGGGTGACAGACCCCCTGCAGTGAGCTCCACGGCCAGACTCGAGGCCAGGGCATTCCCAAAAGGAACGGAATCCCCCTCATCCAGCAACTGAAACAGCTCCTAAAAACCCCAAAATAAAATGTGTCAAAATCATTTATTAACTTGGATTTATTCAACTTATGTTCATCATTTTCAAAATTTTAAAAAGTTGGCTTAACTAACCTAATGGAATGTACATGTAATACTCGTATACTAGTAATATGTAAACAGTCATTAAAAAGGAAGGGGAAATTGCTTAATCGTTCAAACACTTCTTTGAAAGTGCAATATGAGGACACTTGCACTGGGCTCATGTTTTAATCAAGTAAGATGAGAAAATCACAATTTTTTAACTAAATTTTTTAGTGACAACACCTTAATACAGAAAGATATATGTTTCCAAGTGAAATATCAAGAAACAAGAGGCCCAGGGGCCACATCGCTCACCTGAGCACAACGGTTAGGAAAAAGCACATATCAGATCAGAACTGAAAGTTTACAGAGGTTTGGGGGAGGGGGGCTTGAATTTTAACCCCCCAGGGGGTCATGATTTGAACAAACTAGAATCAACACTACCTGAGGATTATTCCATATAAATATCACAAATCATGGCTTTGCAGTACTTGAGAAGAAAATGTTTAAAGATTTCCCTATTTATTCCTATGTAAAACTTTAATTTGCCATTTTGGCCCCACCCTACCCCGGGGGTCACGATTTGTACAAACTTAAATCTTCACTACCTGAGGATAATTTCATATGAGTTTCATCTTCCCTGTCTCAATGGTTCTTGAGAAGAAGATTTTAAAAGATTTTTCCTACATATTTCTATGTAAAACTTTGATCGGCCGTATTGACCCCACCCTACCCCCAGGGGTCATGATTTGAACAAACTTGAATCTACACTACCTGAGGATGATTCCACATGAGTTTCATCTTTCCTGGCCCAGTGGTTCTTGAGAAGATTTTTAAAGATTTTTCCCATATACTCCTATGTAGAACTTTGATCGGCCATTGTGGCCCCACCCTACCCCGGGGTCATGATTTGAACAAACTTGAATCGACAGTACCTGAGGATGATTTCACATCAGTTTCATCTTTCCTGGCTCAATGATTCTTGAGAAGAAGATTTTTAAAAATTTTTCCCACAGACTCCTATGTAAAACTTTTATCAGCTATTATGGCCCCATCCTATCCCCGGGGGTCATGATTTGAACAAATTTGAATCTACACTACCTGAGGATGATTCCATATGAGTTTCATCTTTCCTGGCCAAGTGGTTCTTGAGAAGAAGATTTTTAAAGATTTTTCCTTTATATTCCTATGTTAAACTTTGATAGGCCATTTTGGCCCCACCCTACCCCTGGGGGTCATGATTTGAACAAACTTGAATCTACACTACCTAAGGATGATTCCATGAGTTATATCTTTCCTGGCCCAGTGGTTCTTAAGAAGAAGATTTTTTAAAAACGCCATTAATTTTTCTCTAATTCATAATTATCTCCCCTTGGAAAAGGGTGTGGCCCTTCATTTGAACAAACTTAAATCCCCTTCACCTAAGGATACTTTGTGGCAAGTTTGGTTGAAATTGGCTCAGTGGTTCTTGAGAAGAAGATGAAAATGTAAAAAGTTTACGACAATGCCGACGCCGACGACGACAACGACAGATAACGGACAATTTTTGATCAGAAAAGCTCACTTGAGCCTTCGGCTCAGGTGAGCTAAAAAAAAAACATTTAAATTGAAAAACAAAGGTTTTTTCCCCAAAATATCATGGCTTCAGCACAGAAAGATGCAAAATTTTCCAGGAAAATAATTTGTAATGCAGAGAAATGATCCACCAACCTTTGACCTGTTCAATCTAACATCTAAAGATTCATAATCATTGCTCTGTCTTTTCCAGCCTTTTTCTTTGTTTAGAAGATCTCGAATAACAGGGCTAAAACAAGAAGGGAATAAAAATGAACTATTACTGCATTGGTGATTTATTTACATTGCATATATTTGTCTTTAAACAATTGCAAACTCATGGATAAAGTTATAAAAAAAAATTCCAAATTTTATCGTCTCTGTCCCAATATTTTTTATACTAAAACTTGAACTGTAAATATGATTTTTTTTTCTCCCAAAGAAAATTCAAACAGGAAAAAAGGAGAAATTAATGTCAAGGTCATTCTTCATTTCAGATAAATATTTCACTTTTAAAGAAATACTTCATGGAAAGATAGGGTACAAACAAACAGTGTCTATGTCATGAGCAGGGTTCTACATTGAGGAAGTCTCTACTTGACTAAAATTACTGTTTACATCATTGTGTCACAGTCAAGCTATGTACTCAGTATATATCCAGTATGTACACTTACTCCATGTGGGTGATCCTCTCTGATAAGGCTGCTATCACACAGAACAACTTAAAGTTTATCTTTCTCCTTCCTGTCAAATTCAGTATCTAGAAGAAAAAAGGGAACTCATGGTTAAAAAAGGTAATCTTAGGCCAAAAAAAATTAATCAATAGTTTCTTAGGCCCAAAAAAAATCAGAATGCAATGCGGCAGGCAGGCTTTTTTTTTTTTGAAGCAGGTTTAAGACCTTTTTTAAGCCATTTGTTCAATAAAATGATAATATCTACCAATTCTTAATTTTTGTTCTCTGAAATTGGTTATAATATGTATTCAACTTTAAATAATGTTACTCCAAACATTTATTTAAAAGTTAATTCATAAAATGTTGAAAATTTAGAAGAAATGTATTGTTTTTCCTCATAATTTCTAATAATTCTTAGCATTTATGAAAAGGGGAATAACTCGATTTTCTTTTTCAACTTGGAAAAATAGAAAATTGAGTTATTTCCCTTTTCAATAAAAATAATCAATGCGGCCGTTTTTGAACTGATGCGGCGGTGCCTGAGAAACTATTGATTAATTTTTTTTGGCCTTACCCCAAGTTTCAGAGAAAAACCATTGATTTAAGGTGAAGAAAACTATAACAAAAAAACTTTTCTGACTTAATAACATAACTGTACAAATCAGTTGTAATTATATGTTTATTTCACAAAAACATTGTCTAAAACTGTCCCTATAAGACTAATATCCCCTTAAATCCAAATGATCTATTTTACAATTCCAACACAATGGTACTGATCTTGTCCAAATGACCACAGTACATGGTCATTAAATACTGGATATATCCTCTAATCACATCCAACCTTTTGCTTTTGCTTTGAAAATATGGCCATGACTAAATTTTTAGATTTCTAAAACCCTGATCTTGACAAATACCCCCACCAATTAAGTCCATAAACATACTGAATATTGTGATTTCTGTATCTACCCTCCAGTTTGTATGTAGGGGTTGTAAAGATTCTCATTATAGAATACATAGTATCATATTTTTACAAGTATCCATACTCACATGGTACAGATAGCTAAATTCATTCTGTGACAACAAGTTGTGATTGACAATCTGCAGAGCTCCCTCAAGTTCCTCTTTATTCATTTCTACATCCTAAAAGATAAATCAACAAAATGTGTTTGTGAAACACTATGCCCCTGGTGGCAACAAAATCGAAAAAAGCTATTTTTATTGTATAGGTCACAGTAAAGGTCACAAGGTCATTGACCTTGGTTCATTTGAAAGAACGTAATAAGTGGAGTATGCATACCAAATATGAAGTCTCTATCTTTCATGGTTAAAAAATTATGGTGAAGGTTAAAGTTGACAACAGACAGACAGACAAACAGATAAAAAGACAAACAGACAGAAAAAAAAATTTATACGCCCCGATCTATCAATCCTGGGGCATAACAAGAAATTAGGTAAACATTTTACAAAGAACTGGATTTTAATTTAAACAGAGAGTCCAGGGTTGTGGTTAACCATTTACATCCTAGGAGCCATGTGGGCCCATTACTTTTCAAAGTTTAGGGTCCCACAATGTGATTTACGGGCCCACATACCTCATCAACAAAATAGTTGAAAACGCTGCTTTTCTTTGTATATATAACACTTTATTTTTCATAAATAAATAATAACATTCAAATTGAACACAGGTAAAATAATTTTACTTGCGGTTGTGCAGTACGTTTTTGGTTTTTTTCTTTACCCCATCAATATAAACCGCCACATTATTGGTTTCACTAGGGCATACATCTAGGTCATGCGAGTGCTTGTATCATATACAATTGTAATAGTTTGCACACGACACCAAAAGTCATGGTTAGCGTAGTGTTTGTTATGAAAAAAGGAAATGGATTTTAAAAATACAAGCAAAGCACGGTCATGTTCTGGGATCAAGACGTTCACCATGTGGGCGATCAAATTTTGATTTCTTCATCGCCCCACTTGAAATTTTAATCGCATTGGCGAGTGGGCGAGTGGTTAACCACAACCCTGGAGTCCAAAACATATCCACTTCAAGGCATAAGAAAGGACCAGCAACTCTAGTTGTCATCTGTCACACTTTCATTTCATCTAAAGGACTTTTTGCTTTTAAGGTACATTGTACACTTACTGGATCTGGGTGGAGCGTCTTATACAAAAAACTCTGTTGCCTTCGGAATTTCGGGGTTTATTGTTGTCATTCTGGGCCTCGAAAAAAAGCTCCATGCAGTACATTCCTATGATGTTCTTCTCACCTGAAAAATAACGTTCAGACAATGAGGGGAAAAAAAATGCAAAGAGAAATCAATTTAAAATATACAGAGTTACTGCTCTTACCTTCTAATTGAATCAATCTGTCCTCTATATTGGCTAGTTTTTCTGTACACCTTTCTATTTCACAGTTCAGCTGGTGTTGAGCAGGCTCTTTCATAAGCTTAAATAGAAGGTAAAAATACATATACATCAACAACTTTGGAGAAAGAAATGACTAGAAATATGTCCATAGGACATGAATGCCCCAGGATATATTAGTAAAACAACATGAAAATTTGTATAAAATTTGATCAGTTTGGTTCAAGTAGGGCTTATAGTTACTAGGGAATAAAAATGTAGGTCAGATCCAGCATCCGAAGCAAGACTGGTAGTGTCCATCCCTAGCTGCATCATCCATGCAAGTTTGATTCAGGTAGGGCTTATAGTTACTTGAGAATGAAAATATAGGTCAGATCCAGCATCCGAAGCAAGTCTGGTAGTGTCCATCCCTAGATGCATCATCCATGCAAGTTTGGTTCAGGTAGGGCTTATAGTTACTTGGGAATGAAAATATAGGGCAGATCCAGCATCCGAAGCAAGTCTGGTAGTGTGCATCCCTAGATGCATCATCCATGCAAGTTTGGTTCAGGTAGGGCTTATAGTTACTTGGGAATGAAAATATAGGTCAGATCCAGCATCTGAAGCAAGTCTGGTAGTGTCCATCCCTAGATGCATCATCCATGCAAGTTTGGTTCAGGTAGGGCTTATAGTTACTTGGGAATGAAAATATAGGTCAGATTCAGCATCCGAAGCAAGTCTGGTAGTGTCCATCCCTAGATGCATCATACATGAAAGTTTGGTTCAGGTAGGGCTTATAGTTACTTGGGAATGAAAATATAGGTCAGATCCAGCATCCGAAGCAAGTCTGGTAGTGTCCATCCCTAGATGCATCATCCATGCAAGTTTGGTTCAGGTAGGACTTACAGTTACTAGGGAATGAAATTATAGGTCAGATCCAGCATCTGAAGCAAGTCTGGTAATGTCCATCCCTAGATGCATCATCCATGCAAGTTTGGTTCAGGTAGGACTTATAGTTACTTGGGAATGAAAATATAGGTCAGATCCAGCATCTGAAGCAAGTCTGGTAGTGTCCATCCCTAGATGCATCATCCATGCAAGTTTGGTCCAAGTTGGGCTTATAGTTCCTTAGGAATGGACCTGCTCCAAAAACTCCAAAATCTGGTCACTCATCTGGAAAATGTAGGTCAGATCCAGCATCCGAAGCAAGTCTGGTAGTGTTCATCCCTAGATGCATCATCCTTGCAAGTTTGTATCCACTTGTGAAGTTTGATAACACCATCTTGAATGGTATGTTTAAAACTGAGCTAAACACTAATTTAAGAAAAATGAGGTCAAGGTCAAAGGAAAGGTCAAGGTAAAAAATGTTGATGCAGTTGCATAGCTCTCATCAGTATCTATCAGCATATGAAGTTTGATGAAAATATCTTGGATAGTTTCTTTGTAACTTAGCTTTGAACAGAGCTAAACGCAAAGTGTGACGGAAGGACAGAAGGACGGAAGATGGACATGACAAACACTATATGCCCCGGCCATATTCATGGCGGGGCATAAAAAGATCTTTTTCTCTCTTTGTATAATCACTGTATATTTGTACATGTATTAGTCATTTTAGAAGTTTTATGTTCATTCAGTCACAAAAATGAATGGTCATAGATACATGAATTTCAAACTGACAAACTGTGATGATGTGGATAATTGTTGGTTTACAGTATATGGCTGAACATTTGTCTCAAATAGTATATACATGTGCATGCAATCAAGTTTTGTAAATAGTGCTTAAAACTAAGTTATAAAGGCATTTTAAAAGACACACAAGTACGAGGGTTGTTCGAAAAGTTCGTGGACAACTGTCATATCTTTTTTATTTGACGTCATATGTTATCCAAATTTGGTAGAAATATTTTTACAATAAATCCAAATGATTTGTATTAATTTTTTTCAAAATATTACGATATACAAAACTTATCCAGATTTTAAAAATGCAAAAATCGGATCGCGGAGCAGGTCAAAATTTAGTCAGTTACAGACAATACACTAAATAATGTTTATAGTCAAATTATCTGTAAAATGAATCAAAATCGAAAAACAACTTAGAAATTCAACTTAAGAATTGTTACATCGATTCTTATACCAAATTATGGTTTAATATTTTGCTTTGTCAAAAAGAAATCAACTTGAGAAGATAGGTAGTCCTTATTGAAAACAACAAAAAATGATGACGTTTTAAAATATCACGGAGCAGCAGATAACGATGCAAATTTGTGTTTTACTCAGGGAAAATCCTGAATTAACTCTAAAAATGTTGAAGGAATCAAGAAAATATGTCTCAAACGAGTTACGCATGTGTGTACAATTAGTACTGGCAGTATTTGAGTGACAGGCTCTGTATCGGATAAGGATGATCTGTGAAGAAACGGTTTAACTGTAAAAATCTTAAGAAAACCTTAAAAAGTTGGAACGTCAAGGAAAGACATAGGCGCTTCAGAGTTGCTTATCCTGTGAAAGCAGAGTTAAGTAATAAAAGAAATTAAAACCTTAACAAAGGAAATTATACAACGAGATCAATTCTTAAAAAACAAATGTCAAGTATTAGAAAAGGGATTTAATGAATGGGCATTGGATTATACTGTATGAAATGTATAGGTCCTGGATAGTATTTTTGAGAAATTCTTGACACTATGTTTTGACGTTACATTGCCATTAAGGGTGCTCCGCGGGTACAAAACATGTCGAGTTTAAAATGAAATAAATTGATTTCTGTTAAATTGAATGGAATGAAACTTCACACATCAACAAAACAAATATTTTTACATATTATAATGTGCTTATTTTAAATTTCCAGTGAGTAATATAACGAAGATTGACATTGTCCAGGTACTTTTCGAACAACCCTCGTATATCATCCAATTGATGGAACCAACCTTTTTGAGCAGTTTGTCATCAATTCTACTGACAATGACGTCATCAGTGATGTCAGCACGAGACAAAATGACCTTGGCTGGAATTTCCTCCTGTTCTACCTTGTTCTTCTTTTTCTAAAAAATCCAAACATGAGGTCAATCAATCATACAATGGGATGCATAAGGCTTCACCTTAAAACGTAATTATTGCCAAGTCCTAGGGACATAATGTACTTTGATATATCAATAAATTCTTTAAATAAACAGCAAATTCATGACACATACACATTTTTCTCATTAAGTATGGCTACTGAATACATTCACAGGTGTTACATTAATCTGGTTTGGTAAATTTTAATTTTTTTATGAAATATTTGAAACAAAACACAAGAAATAATGGGACAATAAATCAATTCACTATATTTGTAATATTGAATCCCCAAAGACTTTGCTCCATGAAATACTCTACATGTATATCCATGCATGTACATAATCCAGGACTCATAAGAAAGGCGTATAATCTAAAATTTAGCCGATTTTATGCTAGAGATGATACCTTCTTCTTTTTGCTTTTTTTCTCTTTCTTCTTGAAATGGACAGATGTGATGTCAGGTACTAGTTTTCGTGCCCTCTCAGCTAACTGTTGAATTCTTTTTGCTGCAAAAATGAAATATTTTACTACCTTTTCATCTCCCTTCCCTAGCGAAGGGTTTCTGATATGCAACTCTCCTCATAATCCCTTGGCATATGGTGTTGATAGAACTTGTTTTTTTTTCTCAAGTTCTGATGGGATTCAGTACACCCGGTCGACCAATCAGCAATTGTTTTTTGTATATGACGATATTTGCGTTCCGGATACTTCTTGACTCTTTAATGTCGGAAATGAAAAATGCAAGTAAACAACGATCCTTAAGATAATATGCAATTCTATTAATAGCTATGGTGTCATCCAAAATCTTCTAAATATGTGATTAAGAATCTGTATTGAAGCTTCAGATTTGTGCTATAAATAATAAATAAACACAACACAATTATTGCTTCTTAATTATACTTGAAAAAAAAACCTTGTTTTAATTTTTTTAAACACACATCTTTATTTCTGTCGATGACGCAATCTGTGCGTACCTGATGGATTCAAAATCACGTGACAAAAACAATCCTGTCTTTTGACTTCACTGTATGCCAAGGGTTCATGAGGAGAGTAGCGTATCAGAAACCTTTGGCTAGTGAAGATGCCTTTTCATCATAATTTTAAAATAATACAAATATGCATAATATTTTGCCTAAAGAGAGTTTTTACATGAAAATTACGAATAAGAATGTTGTAATGATCACAGGAGCTTTAGGGCCAATTTATACCAATAAATAATAATTATTGTGAATATCTTTGAATTTGAAACTTTCCTAGTTGATTAAGACCCTTACATTCCAGAAGGTTAAGATCCTCAGCCAGTTGTCGATGTTTTCCGTCCAACATCTCCAGAGTATAACAGATCTTCTCCAGGTACTGCTCAGGTTCACTCAGTGCCTACAGTGGCAATGACAATATAGTCAAATCTTGTGAACCCATATTCAACAGAAATACAGTCAAATCTTGTTATGCCAAACACAATAGAAATACAGTCAAACATCGTTTTCTCAAACTTAACAGAAATACAGTCGATCCTTGTTATCTCAAAAGGAACAAAAATACAGTCAAACGTCATTATCTCAAACTTAACAGAAATTCAGTCAAACCTTATCTCAAACTCAGGGGAAATGCAGTCAAGTTCAACTATATCTTATGTTAAGTGGTCCACTTAGTTCCTATTATATCAATGTGATATGCCTATTTGACCTTTACTTACAGGTCGTGGTGGGTCCTGACCTCGACTTATCACCACGAGGTCATGGAACATGTTCAGTTCATGGTTTCCCCAGCTGGTCCCCTCTGTGACTGGCATCCCCGTGGTGGGGGAGAGGGGATGGGCCCGCTCATACCTCTCAGGCTGACTAGACACAACATTCTTGTAGATTCTCTCATAGTAAGGCAGCCTATCCTTGCTTTAAGGGAAGAAAAATTTTATACAACAAAATTACATAGATTTCTCACATTCAACATATGGGATTTATAATGTTTTCCTGTTTGTCAAAGCAATCAACTCAAAGCAATACAAGATGCATCTTTCATTTAAGTTAACAAGTATGGTGAAATTTTATGATTTTTTTTTTTTTTTGCATTAAGGTGAATATTCTTATAGTTTTTTTCACCTTATGATACAGTATTTAGCCAGGAAGTCCAAAGGATCCTTCATCTGTCGAATTTCCTCTGTTGTAACAGGTGCTTCTGCAGATGGAACTCTCTTCTTTGGAAGAGATTTCCTGTGGATTTCAAAGGAGTAAATGAGTATAAATTATAGAAAAGCAAACATATAGAACATAGTGAGTACTTTCTGGTAATTAGTGAAATCTTACATTTTGAGATGATGTATATGATAGATACTTATGCTAAAGATTTTTTTGAGGTGAAAATCCCTTTATGGAGCAAATACAGTGGTTAGTGTTGTATATCCATGAACTTTCTGAAAGAGTTGCCAATACATGTATTTCTAATTCTAGACCAAATAAGTTATTGATTAAAAAATCATACCTGCAAAAAATGAAAGTAACAAAACTTTATCTGAGGATATAAAGTACTTTTATTAAAGACTGTGACTTACTTTGTGATAGTTGGAGGTTTGCTTTTCTTTGGGGGAGGAGGCACGGCATCTTTAATTTGTGGCATAACCTGGATAGGCTCAAAGGGTTTCCGGTTGTCAAACTTGGGTTTCTTCTCCTGAAGAACAAAAAAGAGGTAGTCAACATCGAGATACAGAAAGGGAGAGAGAGAGAATTCAACCTTATCTGTCTGGGTGTCTTCATACCATATGCGTTATAACAATTTTTTAAGTACATACTTTTACCACTAAAACTAAAAGCAAGAAAAAATAAGTAGTAGCTGAACATTTATTTAGATCTTACATTGCATCTTTCATTAAAATATGCAACATTTCTAGGGGTTGTAATGGAATTATTTTTTTTTTTTTTTAAGGAGTTTACTTTTAATGAGAAAAAATTAGAACTATTTTTTACATTTTATGGATATATCAAATTTGTTGGATTTTTAAAAATCTTTTTCTAAGAGAACTGTTACTTAACAATTTTTTTTCCTATTTCAAGGATAGCTGTTATATCTCAACTAATTCTACCTTGATTCTAACAGAGCTGTTATATCTGACTCATTTATACCTTTTTCTCCTCCGTAATTTCAGGGAGGGGTGGTATGTCCACTGGGGGTAGATCTGGAATCTTTGGGGTGGGAGTGGGTACATGTTCAGGGGTAGGTTCTCTGGATTTAAGGGTGACCTGGACCTCTTCAACCACAGGTTCTGGAGACTTGGGAGTGAGGCTCTGTAGGAGTACAAACTCACTTTTCAATTTCAAAATTCAAATCTGATCATTTTGCAGAAACTTCAAAAAAATTACTTACATGTATTGACTTTTTTTTAATTATTCATTTTTAATTTTTTTTTTTTTAACAAAATATGAACATTCAATTAATGTATAATCCTGAAATAAATACAAAGTTTTGAATCTTTAGATCAATAAGACAATATTTTACTTGACAAAGCCTGTAATTAATTTTTTTCTGAAGAAGCCCCTTACCCTGACTGGAGATGGTAGTTTCTTCGGAACTTCCTTCCTGGTTTTCTTTGGGCGCTCTTTCTTGGGTTGTTCTACAATGGGTGTGGCTAATGAAGGCAAAGTTCCTTCATCTACTACCGTCCACCAGAGAAAAAGAAGCAGATTAACTAACCCACTACCAAGCAGTGCATGTGGACTAATTATAAATAAACTGTGTTCAGTTTAACTGAGTGGTTCAAAGTAATTCAAAAACACCAGTTAGTACGTCTACCCCTTATATATTACATGAAATATACATTGTTTACAATTGTATGCATTGTACTTAAGTATATACGAGGGGTTATCAAAAAGTTCGTGGACTGAGGTTATAAAATTAGTACTATGTAGTCTGTGCTTTCAAAATTTATATGGAACATTAAACAACACAAAATAAAGAAATGTTGAAAATTTTAGCCTGGTACGTTCATTATTTGCCAAATTATTATAAAATGAAAACGACAATATATGATCACCCGGCGCCGTCGTCGTTTATTTTCATGACGTCCGATAACGTCATTGTTTTTTCAATGTCCTCTTCTCCTACCTCATACACTTTTTTGATGAGATTCCCTGAAGCTGAGTAGGACTTAAACCCGCCTTGTTTATATGACTCTACAATGTCATGAACAGTGGCCTTCAATGAATATAATATTCCAGATGGATTAATATATTGGGAGAGATCCACGCTTGATTGTGCCGGCATATTTTGCTTTTGGGAGTTCAATATCTACAACACATGATCACCCATACCGAAAAAAGTTATAACTTAGTTATAACTTTTGTAACTAAAAAAAGTTACAAAAAAGTTATAACTAAGTTATCGGAGTTTGGAATGGCATGTTTTAAGTGAGGTATAATTTAGTTATAACTTAGTTACAAAAAAGTTATAACTTTTTCATAACTTTTCACCTTTTATTGAACATAAATACAACAAGTACATAAAAGTTATAAAAAAGTTATAACTACAAAAAGTTATACTTATTAAAAGTTACACAAAAAGTTATAAAATAGTTATAAAGTTATACTTTAGTTATACCCAAATAAACAGTGGAAAAGTTACAAAAAAGTTATACCCAAAAAAAGTTATGAAAAAGTTACAAAAAAGTTATACCCGGAAAAAGTTATACCCAGGAAAAGTTATAACTAGAAAAAGTTATACCTTTTATAAAGTTATGAAAAAGTTACAAAAAAGTTATACCCCAAGAAAGTTATGAAAAAGTTATAGAAAAGTTATACCTAAAAAAAAGTTATAACCGCAAAAAGTTATAACTATAAAAAGTTATACCTATTAATAAAAACTTTCGTAAAAGTTCCAGTGAAATTATACACTGTTAACCTGTTGTGGATTTACTCAGTTATAAGCTTTTAAAAAGCTACTCATTAAAATTTAAAAAAAAAAAAAATTTTTGAAATTTATACAAAAAAGATTATTTAAAACATATTAAAGGCAATAACAATTTTACCTAACAAACACGATAAAGATAGCTTGGTTTATTGTCAAATACAACTAAATGAATGCACATGCAATTGTTTTAAAAATTCAAGTGTACCTTATTTTACATCATGTCAACAGATTGAAATTTCTCTGGTTGTTTTAAAGAATACATTTTTAGCATATAGCAATTAGGGTCTTTGTAAAATTACCTAGCAAACTGCATTCTACTCTTGCTAATTGTATAAACAGACGTCACTAATTTTTAAATATTAACACCCTATTTATTTTTGATCTAGCTGTATTTCAAAAAAAAAAAGAAAGGTTCTATAAACAGTTATTTCAGTCACAGTTTCTAGCTGCATACCACCCTCCTTGCACAGGTATCCTTGCAGGTGTACAGTTGTTTATCTTTATTATTTGAAGATAGGCTGCACTGAAAGTTGGCTGAGTTAGCTGACAGACTTAGCCATCGTTTGACAGGCCGCACTGTTAGTAGACCAAGTTAGTTGAAGGACTTGGCCATCGTTTGACAGGCCGCACTGGTAGTAGACCAAGTTAGCTGACAGACTTAGCCATCGTTTGACAGGCCACACTGGTAGTAGGCCAAGTTAGTTGAAGGACTTGGCCATCGTTTGACAGGCCGCACTGGTAGTTGGTCAAGATAGTTGACGGACTTGGCCATCCCTTGACAGGTCGCATCTGTAGTTGGTCAAGTTAGTTGACGGACTTAAACGTCCCTTGACAAGCCGCACTGGTAGAAGGCCAAGTTAGTCAACAGTCTTAACCGTCCCTATATTGACAGGCCGTACTGGTAGTAAGCCGAGCTAGTTGACGAACTTGGCCATCTCTTGACATGCGGCACTGGTAGTAGGTTAAGTTAGTTGACGGACTTGACCATCCCTTGAAAATTAAGCCGCTCTGGTAGTAAGCCAATCTAGTTGATGGACTTGGTTGTTCAATGACAGGCCGCACTGGTAATAGGCCAAGTTAGTTGAAGGACTTGACAGGCTGCACTGGTAGTCAGCCGAGCTAGTTGATGGACTTGGTCATCCCTTGACAGGCCGCACTGGGTCAGCTGAGCTGGCCGAGGGACTTGGCTGGTGGACTGCGTCCCTCATTTTAGCTGGTCAGACGTCTTGGCTGGTGGGCAGTGTGACTGGTAGTCGGCTAAGTTTTCGTTGAAATATGCTTGCAATTTTAACCTTTTCTTCAATTCTGCAAAAAATTGTAAAGGTTCAAAATTTAGATTAAAGATATTTAGATAGTATTTTTCCAGCACTCATTTGCATATCAAATTGAAACACTCTTCCATATCAATTAATTCAAATTCATTAATTCATCCAAAACATGGAAAATACAAGACTAATTTAAGATCTATACTTACAGGAATCAGTTTTAGATTGAAAGATTTATTGAATTTTGAAAGGAAAAAAAAATTTACTTTACCTTAAACAAGTAATATTGTGAAGAATTTCATGTACTCCAGGGCAGGACAGATTCAGCTCATGGAAACATCATGTACCAATATTCTGCTTTATAAAAAAAAAAAAAATAATGTTAAATTACTCATTTCATAGCATTAATTAACACTGCAGCTAGATCATGTTATGATCATGCTGATGCGTATAAGGCTTCACAATATTTTAACAGTTCAGGGAATCTATAAACAATTGTGGGAATAAATATGACAAAGAACATATTTTATTAATATACTAAATGCTGAAAAATATTATGCGTTTCAAATACTTTCAATTTGTTTACTTCAGTCTGTCATTCGACATACCAATCAAAACAAACAAGAAATCTAAGATTCACACGCCTAGAATAGTGTTCATTCCCAATATTTCTTCTTTTTGGAATGTTATTCCAGAGGTACTAAGTCTACTTTACCAAAATCAATAAAATGTTAGCATAAATATCGCCTTACCAACTGGTTTTATCTCCTTTTTTTCTATCAACACTTTCAACATACAAACATTCAAATCGTCCATGGAAAAATCCGCGCTCTGTTATTGACCAATCATAGAACTCAAAAACGTCACGTGATCGAAAAGAAATAAAATAAATAATTCATTATTAATTTATTTTAAATGCAAATAAACCTAATTGTGTAATTTCAACCTTAAATTAAAAATATAAATACCAGTTGGTGTTAAAATTTTGAATTTATCTTAGTATCAACAAAACGGACATCGGAGGCCAGCGGCCGCCATATTTGCCGCCATTTTGAATTTAATATTTGTTTATTTGTGAAAATAACTATTATAACTGGGTTATTTAATTATGCAAACAATAAAATCTACATGTACTAGTCATCTGCTTAAATCTTAATATAAGTGGCAGTCTTTATTCACAACATCGTAATATCTGTTCAACATGAACATGCACATACTCTATGCTGCTGTTTATCTTTTTAGCCACCCATATTACGACTGATTTTCTGCAGATTTCAAACAACCTGTGTAGAATTGTACCATTCAGAGATTGTGTAATACCCAAGCTGAAATATTTACGATATGTTGGCCACAAAGGTCACCTAGTACAAACACCTGTCTCACAGAAAACAATAGGGAAATTTACACAGTTTTGCACACGAAGACTTCATGAGATTACATTTCATACTGTTTATATCTCTTGCAGTACATTTATATTTCCCCAGAATTATGAAATATATTCATTCCCAACTTCAGATGTAAGTGCATTATTATAATTTACAAGACAAATATTATGTCTCATCAGGGTCTCAATAAATACGTATTTTCTAAGAGAGAGAGAGAGAGAAGGAGAGAGAGAGAAATTAATTATTCTCAGCTTTAGTTGAAACTTACATGACAAATATCAATTTAAATAGACAATAATATTTATTACACACACATGACATGTACTGTGTACACACCTTCAAACACCACAGAGAGAGAGAGAGAGAGAGAGAGAGAGAGAATTTCTCATTTATAGATGTAATTCACAAGATTTTATTTCACATCCCTTCTGTTGAACTTGACATGGCTGTGGACAGCATGTTTACCGGTATTATGAATGAGAAGTCGATCACTGGTAGTAAACAATATTATTGTTCAGGAATTGACAAAGTTTTCTGCTGCAGTGTTTGAAAAAAAAAAAACATTTTGAACACAATCAAAATTCATTCAAATTAACACTTAGTTTATATGTTATTTTTGAAAAAAAAAAGTTGGTGTCAAGTAGTATCCATTAAATAACCCCCAAAACTTGTAAATTTATACTGGTAATGCTTGAAAATGGCTAAGTTCAGAAAAGTTATGTTTTAGTTATACATGAAAATGACAAAGTCCAGAAAAGTTATGTTTTAGTTATACATGAAAATGGCTAAGTCCAAAAAGTTACATTTTAGTTATTCATGAAAATGACAAAGTCCAGAAAAGTTATGTTTTAGTTACACATGAAAATGGCTAAGTCCAAAAAGTTACATTTTAGTTATACATGAAAATGACAAAGTCCCAAAAAGTTACATTTTAGTTATAACTTTTTTGTACCTCACAGGCTAGGTATAACTAAGTTATACTTTAGTTATAACTTAGTTATAACTTTTTTCGGTATGGGCAACCTCATTTTTGACGGGATTGATTTTTCACACATTGACTGCAAATCGACATTAACTTTGTATCCCTTTACTCTCTGAATCTATTTTGACATTAAAAGACAGGTACTCTGAATGCATATTATTTTTCTGTAGCCAATTTCAACATAATTTAGGTCTATACAAGTTTTTTCAGAGGCAAAACTTTATAGAATGATGGAAGCGGAAACCATCACCCCTTTTGACGTCATTTTCAAGGCCTCATTTGTTTGGACATTCCGTGTAAAATTTACGATAAAATTTCATAGAACTTCCAGAATGAAGTGAAAATTTCATATTTTATAAACCAATTGTGTCCCGACACATACCTGAATTAACGGGATTTTTGGATGTCAAATAATCATATCAAAGGAGTTTTTCTCAGTTACACATAGGTCGAAAAAAACGTCGTTTTCGAGGTTGCGCCGCCTGGACATACCATTGCTACCAAAAACATTAATTATTTATTAAAAAATAAAATTCATGATTTGTGGTTTATTCTTTGGATAGAAAAGATGATGCTAACTAGATATTTCAAAATTCATTGATATACCTTAAGCGGTTTTAATTTTATGGCGCTAGTCCACGAACTTTTTGATAACCCCTCGTATAAGAAAAAGCTTTAAAAGAAGTTCTGTTAATATTAATCTTACTATTATTTTTACTGTGCATTCTTTTCTTTTTTAATATTTTATAAAAGCTTAGTCTAAATTTATCTAACATAACTAATTATAAATACTGAGGAAAGGACACTACATGAAAAATAAATGAAGAAAATAGGGGTTCTTTATATTTCTACACAATTTCTACTTTTGACATATGTACAGTACAGGTAGCCAATTTAACCTATCAGTTAAAATATTTATGTGCAGAAGCCTTCTACAGTGTACAGTTTGCAGTGTAATTTCTGATTAATATAACTTGCATATTATTGACTATAAAGGATTTAATACTATGAAATTTCTGTTTTAAAAATTATTTAGATAATCAAAGAATTCTATATTTTAAATGAAATAACATTAATTATAGTGGCTATGCATACCAAGTGTAATTCTTATTTGTAAAATAATTTCTAGCTATAAAACAAATTTAATTTTAAAATTCAGATAATAAATCTTAACAAGTAGCAAAACTTAAGTTTCACATCTCATCATAAATTTGTGATAACTTCCTAGGAATAAATTTCATTACTTTCTCTGGATATACATCAGATCTTTATTATTGATAATACTTTACATGTAAATCTTATATGCATAAACCTGCCATTTATACAGGGTAATGCAACTTAAAAAATCAACATACCTGGCGAAATTGGTTTCTGCAAAGGTGGGGAGAGAACTTGCTCTATAAAAATAAAAAATCAATTTATTAATACTAGAACATTAATTTTATTAAAACACACAAATAATTTTGTTATAAACATGTACAAACTAAAACTTCCCTTTCCTTGCTATGAAGTCATCTATCATTTGGTATAATGGAGACACTGTACCTACTGCCAATTTTCCCTAAATTTAATTCTAAACCCAAAGATTAAGCCTTACCATTGTCATTTTGCTGTTGTGCAGATTGTTTTACTATGATTTCATGAGAGGAAATATCTGGAACTCTGACAAATTTCCCAGTAGACATCTCACTCTCAACACTACACCAGTTATCTCCCTTTAATGCTCCAATGTGTACAAGAGTTAGTTCCCATTATAGTACTGACATTTCCTTTTCAACTAATTATGCTCGCACAGTGAAACATTCAGAGATATTCCAAATTAAATCCCCACCATTTACTACTTCTCAAAATATATGATGTACAGATCAAATCATCCAAAAATAAGAAGGGCAAAGAAACAAGCTTCCATTATAGTCCTTAATTGATACAAAAATTAACATGCAGCATATGCTTGAAATTCATTCATGATATAAAGTTACCAGTTTAAAATCCATCAAATTGATTTAAATCCATTTTATTAAATACCCCTATTGAAAGAAAAGATCCATGCCTATAGTGTCAGTTTAGTGAATTAAATGCATTGAAGATCACCGTGTGTTCATAACCTTACTTTTGTAAGACTGTCTTCTTTTGATGTTATCACCTAAAATCCAATAAACCTGAAACGGTCGTCTTTGTAAATCATTTGGGGGACATTACAAATTGCCAAATTTAATCACATATCACTGTTTCAAAGAGCTTAAAGTGCATCAGCGAATGGGTACTAGTACATGTATATACTTCTTTGAAATATTTTAATTTTATCCTGTTTGAAATGTTTTAATCAATTTGTAGGTATAGAATTTATTGCAGTTTTAAACTTAAAGTTCTAAAAGGTTTATTTCTGTACTATAAAAAATTATTCCTCTTTTTTTCCACTAAATTATAACACCCAACATATAAGTCCAACATCTTATTAATCTTCATAAAACAAATTGTCAGAATATATTTTGGCAAAACAGGCACTGGCAGATTTAAGGGGGGGGGGGGGGGAGGGGGGGGGCAAAATATACAAGATGGCTATGGGTCCATACACTGACCCCAAACTGCCCCCCTCCCCCCACTTTTCAAGATTCCTGGATCCACCATTATTAGGTATCCTGAAAATACTTATTTTAAATAATGGATTCATATTTCCATGATATCTTAATTTTGGTTCAACCCTTGGAAAAAATTACAACTTTAATGTTCATGTATCTAAGGTATGCTGGGACAAATTTCCACAAAAAAGTGGCTGCATACATAGCCTAGATAAATAACACATACGTTTTAATGTTTTTATGCAATGCTCTCTGCTGGAGACCAAATTTCCCTTACAATATATGAATGTTTCTAATCAATTATATGTTTTATTAAATCAGTTACAATAATTTTTTGAAAATTTTGCTCTAGCATAACACTGTTGATAAGAAAATTGTGAGTGCAAACCAGTTTAACTATATTATGAAATAATTAAAACATGAATTGTCAAAATTAGTGAGCAATAATCTAAAAAAATATATACAAAACAATAAAAACTGGAGACCAACACTCTGAGGTTCAAATTGCGGAAGATTCTCACGTGTGGATACTGAAAGGTTATTCAATAGGGTCTGTACCTAAAGTTATAAACTAAAAGATGAAAAATTACCGGAGTCCTTACAAAATAGAACAATAACCATCCACAGAATTTATGGACTGTTTAATTAATCATTAATGATAAATATTGTAATGTAAAGTTTTGTGACAATTTCACACAATTATGGTTGTCAAATTGTTAATGTAAAGATTTTAGTCCGCAAGTTGTTATGACGTCCGCATTTTTTATTTACATAGTAACGTAGTCCGCAATTTTTACTTCATGTATAATCATTTCATGTATATTTGTTCTGATGACAACCGCCTCTGGTCGAAACTGGTCAACCAAATAAATTTACTGCTGCATTCTCACGAAGTGTTGGTGATCTGTTTTTTATCTTTTAGTTTAAAAAAATATACAGCAAAACTCGCTTATAACGAAGTCGCTGGGACCTTTGAAATTACTTCGCTATATCCGTAATTCATTATAACCGTATAAGAAATTCATTAAATTTATATAGCACGGGATCCAAAATGACTTCGCTATATCCGTGAATTCGTAATATCCGTGTTCGTAGTAAACGAGTTTTACTGTATACATCAGGAGATTAATATTAGCATAGTTGATAACCTATAAAGTGATCAAAAAAAACTTCGTTGAAGAAAGTTAATTAAATTTCTTTTGCAACACACACCTAGAGAATTTATTGAGAATGCTTGGTTTATTGTTAAGTCTTTGTAAGACTTTAAATAATTTGACACAAAAGATTGCCTGACGTTTAAGACAATGACACTCATGTTATGACAACATGTCACCTAGTATCATCAAGTAAACATTTAAATAGTAATAGAAACAATTAAATTACAGGCTCGTATACTTGAAGCACAATAAATACATCATATAGCGATATCACTATAATGAATCAGCAAAAACTCTTGGGTGTAAATTTGCTAAATCAGCTGACTAATTCACCTTTGGTTGATTAATTGACCTTTACTAACTAATATACCACAATTAATTAGTTATCTGATTAATAACTGTGTCAGTGCGAGATTACACTTTGTATGCTGGTGTATGACAGAAATATAAAAATCCTCTATAGAACTACATGTCATCCGATGAACAAATAAAATACATACTTAATAGGCAAAAGTATTTCACTGTGAAATCACCAATTTCTTTGGAAATGAATTTTCATTTTTATTGTGTGTGTGTGTGGTATGTAGAGACCCCTAAATTTTTGTCCTCCACAAAATGATTATTTTCAAAGTATAAAAATGATCTATCAAATACAAAATGTAACCAATAATTTTGTCTAAAGACACTTAAAATTTGACCCCCTTGAAAAAATTTAGTGATTTTACAGCCTTATATACTTTAAAGAACTTTTTCTTCATTAAATCACAAAGACTTTATTTGTATGTTCTTTCCTAAGTATAATTTTATCATTCCATCTCTTTGTGTCAATGAGTACAACTGATTATATTATAATTATTATTATACAGTAATAGTGAAAATGTCCAAAGTATTCACTTCCTTAACAATCTTTGTACATTATCCAAAGAATTTTCAGACACACTTAAAGAAAACTATTTAACAACAGCCTATCATTGCAGCTCTAAGTACCGGTAATGTCTACCACCTTGATCCATCTTCAATGAACTTGGTGCATAAAATATTTTTACTGACAAAATGCATACTGACATGAATGCATCACTTAGATCTTTGGAATAAAATATATGAAGTATAAAGGTAAAATAATGTGAATTCTCAGTGTTTGTATTCATAAAGCCTGCAGGTATTATCATGATACTTCTGTAGACCTGTAATGGGAGAGGAGAAAAATGTCGTGGACAAGAGTATATCTTTAGGTGCTCTAAAACTTTGGCCACTAAGATGGAGCTGACCGCCACATACCAAAACATTTCGAACTTAGAGAGTTCATGATATATTAGTGGACAATTCACATTGATTCATATGTATTACAAGTAAAGTAAGGAGAATTGATGTGGATCCAGATTGACTACTAAAGATGACCTAACATCACAAGGCTTACCTTTGAGATTCAGACTAGTTTCCTCCTCTATCAAACTGTAACTTGTCACCTCGGGGGTAAATTCCCAGATTTTGGTCCCTGTTTTCCTAAAGCTTACTTCTTTTTTAAATGACGTATGAGGACTTGTGATTAATCGGGTTCCCGAGTTAGAAGTCTTTTCCCTCTCCAAGGACCTCAAGTCCGAGGACCTTAAGTCCGAGGGAGTCCTTTTGACGACAGGTTCAAACTGAGTCATGATTTTCACTTTAATTGAATTATTACATAAGTTCAATATGTAGCCAGAAAAAATTCCCTGAATAATTGGTACTAATTAGTAACCCAGAATGGAAAACAATGCACTTCCTTTTCACATCTTCATGGAAAACTTCCAAAGACTTTACTAAATTTGCACACAAGTTTGTAGCACCTTAAATTCCCACAAGTATTAATTGAATGCCCAATAATAGCTTGATAGTCATTTATTCAAGTCTATCTGCTTATCACCTCACAGAACATCAGATGTAAACATTTAAAACATGATAGATCAAATTTAACACCTCATCACCAGTGATCCCGTTACAAAAGATAGAATTGAACAATCGTATCATCCACTCTTATTCACAAAGTCAACCTAACCAAATGCCAAGTTCTAAAGCCATAAAAATTTTATCATAAGACACTTCCAAACAGAGTGCTTCTGAATTCCGAATGGTTTTACAAATGGTATGCCTCATATTTGTTATCAACTTTTAGGAGACCTTTAAACATGTCACCAAGTAATTTTTCACTTTTTTGTTCATGCAAAAGGAATTACAATCAATAAAATTTTCTTTTCATAAAGACAGTTTATATCATTTATAATCCTATGAAATTATTTTTCCAGCAGGGGTAATTCAAAAATTTGCTCAAGACCAAATACCAGAAATGCAATCTGAACACCTTTTGGCATTAACAGGTGGGCATAATATATTCATACATTAGAATCATCAAGTTGTTACTGGATAGAAAGGGATTTAGAGATAATGGGATTACAAAATTACAAGTGTGATCTTTTATGTAGAATTTGTTTCTTAGTCCCTATGAAAATACATAAAATTTTCTTTTAAAAAAGCTCACTGTTATTCTAATTACCGGTAAGTATTAATATTTCTGTAGATTATCTCTCTTCTCCATCCTCTTGTAAAGAAAATGACCTCTTGATCCCTTAAACATGGTATACGCTAATCGCTTTTTGACTGTTTTATAAAATATTTTATAGGAGATATTACAGTCCCTACTTTTAAAGTATTGATATTTGATATTGATACATGCATACAGTCAAACCTTGTTATTTTGAACTCATACCTGGGATTAAACTTTGAGATCTCCAAAGATCTAAGATAATGAGGTAAAAAAAAAAATAAAAAAGGTGACTGGAATTACCAAATCAATTTTAAGCATGTCCATGGTATTTGAAATACTGGTCTCTGAGATGACAAAGTTTAGATGTTTTTTATCATTCAAAATTACATCGAAATGTATACTTCTTTCAACTGATCATGTGTAGAGAATTTAATTAACAACTAAAATATCCTGCACTCATAAACATGCAATCCTACTCAAAACCTAAAACCCAAAGAAACTAAAACTGTCCAAATGGGACAAAATACCCCCCGCTGGGTTTTTCAGAAGTGCTAAATCATGCATATTTTATGGATCTAAGAGAAGAGAGAAATGCTAAAACATTTTTAGTGCAAATGTAATTGCTCATTATATTTCTTATAAATGAAACCAAGGTGCAGCCTAATAAAAACAAGATGTGTTTGTGAAACACTATGCGCCCAGCGGCAGATTAGTCACAGTCAAGGTCACAAGGTCATTGACCTTGATGTCATTTGAAAGAGCTTCATTGGTGGAGTATGCATACCAAATATGAAGTCTCTATCTCTCATGGTTCAAAAGTTATGGTGAAGGTTAATGTTGACAACAGACAAACAGATAAACAGACAAACAGACAGGACAAAAACAATACATGCCTCAGATCTATCGATCCGGGCGCATAAAAACAGACTAACAAGAGGCCCAGGGGCCACAGCGCTCACCTGAGCACATCAGGCTTGAATTTACCCCCCCCCCCCTCCAGGCGTTCATCATTTGAACAAACTAGAATCTACACTACCTGAGGATAATTCCATATAAATATCACTAATCATAGCTTTGAAGTACTTGTAAAGATTTTAAAAGGTTTCCCCATATATCCCTATTTAAAACTTGGGTCGGCCATTTTGGCCCCACCCTAGCCCCGGGGGTCATGATTTGAACAAACTTAAATCTGCTCTACCGGACGATGATTCCACGAGTTTCACCTTTCCTGGCCCAGTGGTTCTAGAGAAGAAGATTTTTAAAGATTTTTCCTATATATTCCTATGTAAAACTTGGGTCGGCCATTTTGGCCCCACCCTTGCCCCGGGGGTCATGATTTGAACAAACTTGAATCCACACTACCTGAGGATGATTCCACATGAGTTTCATCTTTCCTGGCCCAGTGGTACTGGAGAAGAAGATTTTTAAAGATTTTTAAAGATTTTTCCTATATATTCCTATGTAAAACTTGGGTCGGCCATTTTGGCCCCACCCTAGCCCCGGGGGTCATGATCTGAACAAACTAGAATCTACATTACCTGAGGTTGCTTCCACATGAGTTTCATCTTTCCTGGCCCAGTGTTTCTGGAGAAGAAGATTTTTAAAGATTTTTCCTATATATTCCTATGTAAAACTTGGGTCGGCCATTTTGGCCCCACCCTAGCCCCGGCGGTCATGATTATAACAAACTTAAATCTACACTACCTGAGGATGATTCCACATGAGTTTCATCTTTCCTGTCCTAGTGGTTCTGGAGAAGAAGATTTTTAAAGACTTTTTCCTATATATTCCTATGTAAAACTTGGGTCGGCCATTTTGGCCCCATCCTTGCCCCGGGGGTCTTGATTTGAACAAACTTGAATCTACACTACCTGAGGATGATTCCACATGAGTTTCATCTTTCCTGGCCCAATGGTTCTGGAGAAGAAGATTTTTAAAGATTTTTCCTATATATTCCTATGTAAAACTTGGGTCGGCCATTTTGGCCCCACCCTTGCCCCGGGGGTCATGATTTGAACAAACTTGAATCCAGACTACCTGAGGATGATTCCACATGAGTTTCATCTTTTCTGGCCCAGTGGTACTGGAGAAGAAGATTTTTAAAGATTTTTCCTATATATTCCTATGTAAAACTTGGGTCAGCCATTTTGGCCCCACCCTTGCCCCAGGGGTCATGATTTGAACAAACTAGAATCTACACTACCTGAGGTTGCTTCCACATGAGTTTCATCTTTCCTGGCCCAGCGGCTCTGGAGAAGAAGATTTTTTAAAAATGCCATTAATTTTTAACAAATTCATGATTATCTCCCCTTAGAAAAGGGCGTGGCCCTTCATTTGAACAAACTTGAATCCCCTTCACCCAAGGATACTTTGTGCCAAGTTTGGTTGAAATTGGCCCAGTGGTTCTTGAGAAGAAGATGAAAATGTGAAAAGTTTACGACAACGACAACGACAACGCCAACAACAACGACAACGACAACGACGACAGACAACGGACAAATTTTGATCAGAAAAGCTCACTTGAGCCTTCGGCTCAGGTGAGCTAATAATACAGACCAGACAGGAATTATGAACTTTTTCTGTCAGTGACCTTGAACTTGCATAAATGACCTTGGTTCAAAGTCATGACACAACCTCAGGTCATAAGCAATGTTTGTGTGAAGTAGTAGATTCAAGTATTTCCATATTAAAGAAAGATATGGACCGGAACAAATTATAAAATTTTTCTTCCAGTGACCTTGAACTTCCCCAAACGACCTTGACCTAAGGTCATGACACATCCTTAGGTCATGAGCAATCTTTGTGTGAAATGAGAACTTACCAAGTTTATCCATAAGAAAGATACGGACCACACACGAATTATGAAATTTTCCTTCCAGTGACCTTCAACTTCCGCAAATGACATTGACCAAAGGTCATGACACATTGTTAGGTCAGGAGGAATCTTTGTGTGAAATGAGAACCTACCAAGTTTATCCATAAGAAAGATATGGACCGGACACAAATTATGAAAATTTTCTTCCAAATGACCTTGGGTCAAGGTCATGACACACCCTTAGGTTATGAGCAATCTTTGTGTGAAATTAGAACCTACCAAGTTTATCCATAAGAAAGATATGGACCGGACACAAATTATGATTTTTTTCTTCCAGTGACCTTGAACTTCCCCAAATGACCTTGGTTCAAGGTTATGACATACCCTTAGGTCATGTGCAATCTTTGTGTGAAATTAGAACCTACCAAGTTTATCCATAAGAAAGATATGGACCGGACACAAATTATAAAATTTTTCTTCCAGTGACCTTGAACTTCCCAAAATGACCTTGGTTCAAGGTCATGGTTCAAGGTCATGACACACCCTTAGGTCATGGGCAATCTTTGTGTGGAGTAGTAGATTCTAATGTTCCTCCATAAAAAGATATGGACCGGACATGTTTGCACAGACAGACGGACGGACGGACAGACGAACAAGGTGATTCCTATATACCCCCCCAAACTTCGTTTGCGAGGGGGGGGGGTGTATAAAAACACCATCCACATTTCAGTACATCTATTATATTTCATTCATATTTTGTTAGTCTTTTTCTATATTTGTTTTTAATCATGAGAAATAATTTTTGCCAAGCATTCTTCCAATAAAATAATAAAATCACGAGATACTATTGTTTGCAGCTAACTGTAAAGTTTCACGTTTCGTCACGATCTTTTTCGCCAGATGCATCCAGCGTAAACAATTCACGTGATTGGTCAGCTCAAATTATCAACATTGATACAGAAATAGTCTGTTGCACGAGCAACCAATCAGGGATAAGAAGAAAGTTCCAGTCGTAAAGCTTGCCTTTAGGAGGCGTGTACAATTTACCTTGAGTGCAGCTGTCAACTAGATCGTGACGTAACGTGAAACTTTACAGTCAGCTGCAAACAATTATTAGTATTTACTTTTGCATTAAGATGATCTAACAATTTTACACTACGTAGAGCAAACTCAAACTTCAATATCCTGAGCACTAATATCTCTCATACCATGGATATATTGAATAAATTTAAATGTTCTAATTTCCTTTTATTTAAATATTTTACCCTCCACATCTTGAATCCTTGGATATTTTAATGTTTGAGATACTGTAAAATTATATATTTTTGTGGGGTCAAACTTTCATGGTTTAAGAAAAAACTCTTGGTTTGTGTGGATTTCCTGTATGAAATATTCTTGAGTATATAGTTATGAATGCAATGTACATTTTACATTTTGTGGTGGACATAAGTTTGTGGGACTCTTGAAAATTAACACCCAAGAAAATTTGTGATTTCACAGTAACATGGTTTTACTATAATCTTTACTGAAATAAATATACTTTGCAACTTCTCTAATCTGATGCCCCCTCCCCCTTAGTAATGCCCTGTTCACACGGAGAGTTTAATTCGAATTAAACGTAAGTTTACTGCGAATTAGCTTCGCTTAGCGTTGACATGGATAATTTAATGCGAATTAGTTTAATTCGAATTAATTTACTGCGCATTAAATTACTTCGCATTAACTCCGTGTGAACGCTATGCGAAGCTAATTCCAATTAAATTTTGACGCATGCGTAAGGCAGATTTAAGTCAGAGGACACATGCTAGTGGTTAGATATAGGTGTCTGTGGTATATTTGGTTCAAAAATCAAGGAATAGTATGTTAATCACTAAATGTATACATGTAGCCACTACGATAAAGATATCAAATCGATGGCTCTGCATACATGATGTGATTTACAAATGATGTCATAATAGCCTTATTACTGGCGTCTGACTGTAGAAGAAAAATTTTGATTCGCATTAGTTTACTTCGCATTAGCTGTCGTGTGAACACAATTTAATTCGCATTATTTTAATTCGCATTAGTTTACTTCGCATTAATTTACTGCGAATTAAACTCTCCATGTGAACAGGGCATTAATCTACCTGTGGCTGCCTACCTGCTTCAATGATGGCTGGAGATTTCAGAGGGAGTTCTTGTGCAGAATCTGAAATCAGAAAAAAAATTGTCTTCAATAGACATTTATTTTTATAAATGGAAAATCGAACATGAATCAATTAAATAGAAATAAATATTTATGAACTTATTATTGTACACCAAGTGAAATGAAGAAAACATATAAAATAATTTTGAAACAAGTCTGGAAATGAATAAATATTCAAAATTATACACCATGTAAATAAAAACAAAACCTTTACAAATATCATTAATTCTATAAATAGAAAAATTAGTGTGAATGAAAAAAGAAAACACAGAAAAGCAACAGTACTATATAAAACAATTTCAATTTACCAACCTGCCATGATAAAACAGAGATAAAATCAACAACTCAAGAACATAAGAAATACTAACTTAGAGTTAAACACACATATCAAGTAAGTGAAAACCCATAAACCGAAGAAAATGAACAAAGAAAAATTAAATACTGACAATAAAATTGTTTCATAAAACCATTCTGAACATAATCAAAATCAAAAGCAATCTCACACATGATCAGTGACCTAAAAATTCCTTTGTCTCTGTAATTTCCCAACAAAATAAATATAAAGAACTATATCATATATCTGTTCTTTTTCAATTAAAACTTTAATATTAAATTTAGGATCTAATATCTGCTCCTAAAAATAAGATATAAAATATCAAGTCAAGGATTCACTGTAATGTACATGTAATCCAGAAAGTATTTGTACTTCTCATGATATGCTTAATTAAGTCTCTCTCTCTAACTCTCTCTCTCTCTCTCTCTCTCTCTCTCTCTCGATCTTAATAATTTTAAAAGCACAAAGGAACTTTATCATTTGAAAGTATACAATTATGTAAACAAAACTCTTTTTGTTACTCACAAACTGAGGTTGGAACAAATTCCATGTCTGAATATTACACCTTATGTTTTGGAAATGCCATACTTTATAACTTTCATACTCATAGCTTGACTCAATTAGTATATGGACCATTCAATTAATTTTTGGTTTCCGGTTAAAAGGTCTCATTTTATCCAAATCAAATTAAAACACTTGTGTGAAACAAAATATTAATAATCAAATCTATTTAAAAAATATAAATATTTTCATTTCAATAACAATTCAGATCTAGCAGAGCTGTTGGATTCTTTTATTAAATTTCTTTGTTTTTTCTGTATTACTTAACATGGCATGAATCAGCTTGTTTAGAATACACATTCAAACAGAAGCTAGTATTCAGCTTTCATTAAAACATTAAAAACTGACAAATCTATAGTGAACTTAGCTATGTATTGATATAAGGTGTATAAAATGTTTCAAGTGCTGTACGTACACAAAGGGTGAAAAAACAAATTGTTTGTTTACTTTGGCCTCAATTATCCATTCTCAAAAAGAAAATTCTTCCTTAGTCATTACCTGATCAATATTTTAATTAATATTATAAGACAATCTACATACACAGGGATACATAACATTTTAAGGAAAATCTTGAGTGGAGTCTCCTATGGTTAAGAATTTAAATTCCTATCTCGTGGTTTTTGGATCGGCTATAAACTGCGATGGATTTACAGATACCCTGTCTGTACTAACCACTTCCTCTCCCAGGGCACACAGAAATGTCATGTGCCGGTAATCAATTTCTTTTTCAATAAAGACCGGTCAATATTTAAAGACTGCTTAGGGTATTTGGATACTTTTAAATCTCATTAAATCTGACTTTTAATATAAAGTTCCCTTTTTCCTACCACAGACATTGATAACATATTGCATAACTTAGTAAAATGTAATCTTTTTTGGAAAGGTGACATGTTGAAATGTGATCTTTTATTAGAGAATTATTTCATGTTGACTAAATCACATAATTATCAAGAAATTCATTATCAGCTTCATGGGAGAATGGAATCTCTTATAAAGCTATGTGTGACCTGAAATAAAAATATACTTTCCAGACCATTTCAAAGTCCATTCTCAAAATAAGTGAACAAGAAAGACATCAACACTTCTAAACAAATTAGTCATCGTGAAAAACAACACAAAAACCTCTGAAAAATGTAAACATACATGAAGAAAATCATACATGGTGATGTAAATATATTCATATTGCTGAAGGCTCCTTTAAATACTAGGAAGTACTGAAAGCCTTGTAAGTCTTTTTCAGTGTACAACTTTGGGGATGTCATGATTGGCTTGTAAAACAAAGAAACTTGAAAATGTTGGGAGGCAGACACTCCCAGGATCTCTACATGATTTTTCAAGCAAATGCCTATCTTCCCTAGATGTACAACGTGGTCCCCCTTATTGAGTAAAGGTGGTTTCTATACAATCTCCCAATGATCTCTTTACCATCTCTTTCAAAGACATTAAACAAAAATGCATTCTTTAAAATCTCTCAGAGATCCATGGGAAATTACTTTAGCTCTCTTTAGGCTTTTTCTTCGGGCTATTCTTTGAAAGACAACTTAAATTTGCAATTCTCGGGAGCTACACTGTTTGTGGTAGTGTAAAAAAACTTTGAAGAGACCATGGAAACTATGAAGATCTCCTTGAGATCACTGAGAGATCATGCAATCATGGGAGATTTTTTAAGGAGCTGTGAGAGATCTAGTTTTGAGAGCCCTCCAATCTCACTATTCCCAGATTAATAAAAGGAGGTTTTCACATCTAATCAAATTAATTCCTGGCATGCATGCATGCAAGAAAAAGAGAAAAATTAAACTTGAGATGGATTCTCAAACATAGATAACAATGTAAAAAAAAAAATCCACGCCTGAAGGGTTTACCAGTGCGTTGATCCTTTGAGAAATGGTATGACTTATGTTGGCTGGATGGGATCTGCTCAAGATTGAGAGCTAAATAGAAATAAAATCAGTGGAGTCATTGCTGACTTCTTTCATCTGGAGGAAAATAGATAATTCATTTAATTTTTTTTCTGACTGGTCTTCCAAAATTCAAATTCATAAAATCAACATACACTTTGCAGTGATAACATCTTTTAGGAACCCTGCATCATCCCTTCGCTTCTGTAGCATGCCTCTGGGGATTTCTGTCGGTGTATCAATCTGTATGCGGCCATGAAGAAGTAACTCTGATTCATTTGTTGTAGTTTCCACTGACCTCTCAGGAAGAAGGAGTCCAGTCTTTTTAGTTTCCATTGATTTCTTCTCAGTTAGTGCTCTCCTTTTTTCCCTGCCTTGGACAATTCGTAGTCGCCTTTCAAACACATCTTTTTTCTCTCTGAATTCTTTCTCAGTCTCCACAGATTTAAATGAGATGTCAGAATTCAGAATTTTTTTGGAGTTCATCTGACCAATTTCCAGTGAACTAATAACATTAGACGTTGCAGATGACTTATTTCTGCTGTGGGTTGTCAAAGTATGTGCTCCATCTATGTTGCTTTTAGTAAACTTCATGTTCTCCACAGTGAAAACATCTCGATGCTGATTTTCAAAATGATAAAAATTTTCTTCTGGTTGCAAATTTTTGCCTTTTCTACCAATATTGCTAACCTCTGGCAAAAGATCCATTTCTGTTTTGGATGTCTTTTTTACTATAACAGGCTCATCACATGCTATATTGTCCTTAGATAAATCTTCTTGATGACAATGTTTCAGCTCTTTTCCTGTTGTGTGAATATAAGTTTCTTCAAAATGAGAGTCATTAATTTGTTTATTTTTCTCATTCCATGCCTCATTACCGATGCTTACAACATTCTGATTATTGATTTCATCTAAAACATAATCAAGAGGTACATGTGTATTGTTCTGTTTATTGCCCCTTTTGAGGGCCTCTTCATCATGACATGCATCATTCTGTTTAATGCCCCCAAGAATAACCTCTTCATGAAAACATGAAATATTTTGGTCATCTCTTTTATCAAAGACTTTGTCAGCATAACCAACATATGTATTGTTCCATTTACTTTTCCCTTTGAGGACCTCTTCATTACAACATCCTTTGTTCAGTTCTGTTTCCCCATCTAAGGCCTCTTCTTTTAGACATACAACATTCTGTTCATTTGCTTTCTTACAAGAGTCCAGTGAAACATCTCTGATTTTTTTCTTGTGGTTATTTACATTTCTTTGTCCCATTGAAATATGACTGGCGGCAGATGGAACTGGATTTTGTTTCTCTAATCTACCCGAGGAGCTCAGATTTCTCTCTTTGACTTCGGCAATATTCAGTTCTTGTTCAGTTATTGGAAACAGATGAGGCTGACCTTTAAGTTTCGTTCCTACAATTTCTTGTACATCTCAAATACTTTTATGTGCAACTACAGACAATCTGATGTCCAGTGAATACATGTTGACATGTTAACTGAGTGAAAAATGTTTGAATTAATAAATTAATACACTTATTTCTTCTGAATTACACTTAAATGATATTTTTCTTATACAATTTTTCATTTCTTAAGTAAACAATTTCATCCCATGTAATTTCCCACAGACTCAATTGTATATAAAGAGAGACAACTCTCTCTTTTACATTATGCCTTGTAAAAAATAAACTGGGAGAAAATATTGCCTAGTTATTACAGTTCCATGAATTTAGGGGAATAAAAGAAATTCCCAGATACAGCAACATAAACCTATCTATATAAAACATGTGTATATATAAGCATTAATTCACCTTATTCTAATGAGAATAATAGAAATTCTAATGTAGAGCTACATACCTATCTAAAAACATGTGTATATATATTATATATACTGGTAAGCAAATACTCACAAGCAAATACTCACCTGTTGGTTTTTCACTCTCCAATCCTGAATCAGGGGAAACTGGCCTTACTTGCTTCTTAACTCTACATCAAATAAAAACAAACTTAAAATAGCACATCATTTTTTTCCTTGCCAGAAAAAAAATTTGCATTTAAAAGAAAAACAAAATATTTAGCATAAAAATAAAAAAGAACTCCTACCTTTCTTTCTTCTTAGCCTGTAATAAGAAAAATAAGCATGTGTTATTTATGTGAAAATAAATATTGCTTAAGCTAATTTAGACCTTATTTAACCCATCAATTAGAATATGTTTACAAAACGTGACTTTAAATTTTTTTTAATTTTTGAAACTTTGTATTTACCTCCTTCTTCTTTGGTGGACTCCAGAAGTCTGTGCTGTGTTTGTCTGATTTCTTCACCGTGAATTTCTCAGGCTCCTTCAAAGGTCATTACAATAGAGAATAACAAAAATATATTAAAAATGTTAGACTTGTTTTTGAAGGGGTGTGTCCTTACTATCATAGATTTATTAAAAGTAAAAAATAAGATGACCTTCAAAGCACATAAGTAAAATAGAATGATTCTGATTAAACATTGATCAAAGTTTAATTAGAAATTATCAAATACTGTAGACTCATTACTTTTATGGCATTCATTTTGGGGGGGATTCTGTAGGTACCACTAGCCTAAAAAATTAGTCTTAAAGAATATAGATCTATGAACTATATCTTTATTAGCTAGAAATTTGCTCACCAAATTACATGTACATCTCCACAAAACTTTTAAATTTTAAGCAGTTCAAGACCTTATAAATTAATTGGTATTCAATGATAGCACACATCTAGCTTTAGGATTAGAAAGTACAATAGCAATATTGACCTGAAGCATTTATCTACCAGTTAGAAAAGCAAAATAAAAGTCCCTGGTATTCAATGTCGAAAAGAATTTCAATACCTAGATATTTGCAATATGTTTTAATGACAACTAGTGATACCCCCACCCACCCACCTCCACACACTCACACTCACACACCGCCATCATCACCAAAAACAACAAAACCACACTTAACAATAGGATTATTGTGGTAGATAGGTAGCCTACCATCCAGTTTCCTTCGTGGTGCTTGAATTCCTTGAATTCTGTGAGTTTCTTTTCACTCTTTTTGACTTGGAAGCCACTTCCTTTAGGCAGATCATAGTGTCTCTCAGTACTGAACGGGGAATGGGAATCAATCTGACGACTCTTTTTATGCTTTATCTTGAATGGTGGTGGAGCTGAAAAATAGTTTTTTAAAAGTGATAAATTAGAATTTATTTTCTACATTTTAATATTAATTACTACTTTTTTGAAATGTCTATCAACATAATGCTTGTTTTTTTTTATTCTTGAAAAAAAAAGCATACAAAAGAAATTTAAGTATGTATTGAGAATTGCACAGTATCACATTAAACCTTATACATTAAACAAACAACATACAAGGCATTAAAGATAAATTACAATATGTTCAGACCAATATCCCAAGATAGAAAACATACATAGAGACAAATCATGCAAAGATTCAAGTCAGGACTGTCAAGTATGAAATCAGTATCTTTAGATGATGTGATGATGATACAGTGTTTTGGGTAGAAATTGAGAAATTATTTTTAAAGATTTGTTTATTATATCATATGTGTATTATGTGCCCCCAGTTTCCAAAGACAGAACTGTGATATTCATTCACTTGTGTAAGTATAATCTTTTTCGTTAAAACTGTTCATTTTTGAAAGATTGAAAATCAAATAGAAAATTTTAACTTTCGGATAATCAAGGAATCTATATATAAAGATAATTCCAGCATTATTTCTCTCTACAATCTTGTCTGTGAACAGTTTTAACATATATGTGTTAAACAACTGTGTGCTGGATACAACAATCTATTACTTGGACTTCTACTTGGTGACCTGCATTCTACAAATCAAAAAGTGTACCAAATAAGAACAAGCCATAATCATCATAAAAACAATTTGGAATGCTTCTGAGGAGTGACTGAAAGAACATTTTAACATTTAAACACAATTACATGTAAATAAACAAATGCCTTCTAGAGATAGTTAACAGATGCAAGCATGTAATAGGTAAATCAGCTAAATCTATATAAAAAATATAACTACATGACAAATATATAATTAACAAATCATGTTTCACTGAATATAAGTGGCTGTGATTGCCTCTACTTATAGTTTATATAAGTATATTGACCTCTGAATACAAAAAAGTGGACTCTTACAGAACTGTGTATAACGTTAGTTATAAAGTGTGATAACCTGACCTTTATACGATATGGGTGCCCTTGTACAGTTAAAATCATAATGATTAACAGTGATTGACATAAAAACTTTTTAATTTTATGATTAATTCACCGTTATATGGTGAATGACATTAATACTTATAATTTGTTGGTTAACCCACCTTTATACAATGGTTTCCTGCGTCGGCTGCTGTATGGGCTGTACGGACTACTTCCATTTTTATCACTCTTATCTTCTCCTCTGTCTTGTTTATCTAATGATTTTAATGCAATAAGCTTTAATCAAATCAACTTGATGTAACCTTGTAAGACTTTATATAAACTCCATCAGGTTAGAAGCATTTGCATTTGTAACTCATTCAAGATTGATACCAATTAATAAGAAAATAACATTTTTTAATCGTAAAGTTTTCTGCAAGCTTGGATATAAAAGAAAATATATTTTTAGTGTGCTTGCATTAAATTGATATATTTTGAAAACAATTAATTTGGAAATTCATTGTTCTTAAATATTTAGAAATCCATTAAAATAATTTGTATTTATAACAGGAAAAAATGTGTCAACAAGCCATGGTCCTGGATTACAATTTGATGGATTCAGAAACCACTCACCAGATGAGTCCCCTGTTGAGTTAGGTGTTGTGCCCAGTCTTGAGTTAGGTGTTGTGCCCAGTCTCGAGTTAGGTGTTGTGCCCAGCTTACTTGACTTCTGACTGTCTATACCAGTGGTACCACTTGTGTAGGATTTATCTCTCTTTTTAGTGGAACTCTTCATCGTATTGTCATCTTCTCCTTCAGTAAAATGTGCTTTATATATTTACATGTATTATAGAATTGTGTATCTCATTTAAACAATTCTTAGGGTGTAGTGTCTCTGAATATGCAATAAAATGTCATTTATTTAAAATATTTTTTCAGACATGTATTATGGAATCATCATGTGTACATATGTATCAATGTTCTTGGTGATGTAACTATGTGTGTAAGAGTTACCCACAAAATCCATGAAGTCCGGTAAAATAACCCACTATACTATATTTTTTATTTACCTTCGCTATCAGCATCATTATCAGTCTGATTCTGAACAGTATCCTCCAAATCATGTTCACTTCTGACTGAACCACTGTCATCTCTATCTGAGTGTTCAGACTTCTGAACATGAACATCTAGCTGCTGGCTCCCCTGGTCTGTGGAGCTGTCATTATAATCTTGTTTGCTCTGGGACTCCATTCGAATGGTGATGTCTTCAGAACCTCTTGTTGTATGACTTTCTCCTCTGAATAGATTTTCATCTATTAATTTTTTATTCAAAGAAGTGGGGTCTGACCAAGGAGACATGGCATCCATGTTTTCTTCTCGTAACCTGCAAGAAGGACAAAATTTAAGAAATCATAAAAAAGAAATTTTTTTGATTCATGTATGTAACATTCAAAATTTTCAGTTGCCTACTTTTCATAACTTTGTGATAAGAAATAGTGGCAAGTCTTTCCCCCTGTTTTGTGTGCAGTTCACATTATATATAACATGATTTCTAGAATTCTATAAATATAGTAAATTTTGTCAAATTCAGACATTTGATTCCAAAGAAACTGGAAGATTAGACACCATTCTTGATACAGATATTATTTTAAGCAACTGAATTTATTGAAAAGGACTCAAAATTTACATCATGTTAAGCAAGATTTCAGAATACCCAACATCTGACTTAGACAAGGTACAAAGAATTTTTAGATAAAGTAGAGGAGCTAACCTGTCCTTGTTTTTGTTGTGGCCCCTCTCCCGGTCATCTATCAGTGGTCCCTCCCTCATCATGGCCCACTGCTTCACTATCTCCTCCTGTGTCCCCACACTGTCTTCCTCAAGCTGTTCCCCCACAGACTGAGGTCCATACTCTGTAACATTTATAACTGGGTACTTATATCTGATGACCATAGTCTGTAACATTGACAACTTGACTGGGTACTTATATCTGATGACCATAGTCTATAACATTGACAATTGGGTACTTATTTGATTAAAATTAGCAAGTGCATGGAAAATACCATTTTTCACCCTAATTTTAATGTTGGGGTTTAGAAAAAGTAACCTAAACCAAGCTTATGATCTTGTCAAATAAAAATTTGCTTTAATAATTTTATATTGCATTTACAAAAGATGACAGTACATCATCTAGGATGATAAATCTGATAAAATTTGGTAAAAAAATACAAAAAAAATGTAATACTTCTTTGAAATCATAAGCTCATACATCCATTGTAAAGAGAAATTTTCAAATACACTGTAATTAAATAAATGTTTTGCATACTCAGGGGAAAAAAACAGAGTTTTCAGGAATTGTGTCTTACTCCAAAATGACCTTGAATAGGACATTGACTCTACTGCATTTCCATTTTCCCTCAAGGTAAGTTGCTATACAAAAAAGTCTTTGTGGGTATAAAAGAATGTACCTCTGCCTATAGAGACATGCTTATTGCCATAAATACCCTTAATACTGGTCTGCATGTGACAAAAAAAAGTACGTAAGGGTTGCCCGCAACCCTGTGTCTCGCCTGCTGTCGCTGTGGTTAGTAAGAAATGATTGTCTGATAAACTGAAGCATTTATTGACATTTCAGAAGGAATAACTCAAAAATACAATAATAAAGAAATGGAACAGCTGACTTAATATCTAATCCCTTGGCGATTATATTGGCATTTATATATATATACATATACCCTGTAAATTCACAAATTATTGTGATGTTTTTATTATTGCGAATATTGCAACGTGTTATGAGTCGCAATAATTTGAACTTGCATTTTGAAATCAAATCCACTGTATATGTATCAAGTCATTCATGCAGAAAATGTAGGTGAAGATTACCTAATTATGGTACTGATATTGTTGGTTACCCATGATGTGTAGACTGACAAATTATCATGCCACTATAAGTTATAGTTGCTGAGATATGGACCTCCACCATAAATTTATGCAAAGTCACTCATGCGGAAAAATGTAGGTCAAGATGACCTAATTCTGGTACAGGCGTTTGTGGTTACCCCTGATGTATCCACTGACAAATTATCATGCCACTATAAGTTATAGTTGCTGAGATATGGACCTCCACCATAAATTTATGCAAAGTCACTCAAAAAAAATGTAGGTCAAGATGACCTAATTCTGGTACAGGCGTTTGTGGTTACCCATGATGTATCCACTGACTAACTATCATGCCACTATAAGTTATAGTTGCTGAAATATGAACCTCCATTATCAATTTAACCAAAGTCATTCATGCAGAAAAATGTAGGTCAAAATGACCTAATTCTGGTACTGATGTTGTTGGTTACTTATAACCTGTACAATGACAAATCATCATGCCATTATAAGTTATAGATGCTGAGATATGGACCTCCACCAAAAATTTAACCAAAGTCACTCATTCAGAATAATTTAGGTCAAGATGACCTAATTCTGGTACTGACGTTTGTGGTTACCCATGATGTATCCACTGACTAATTATCATATCCCTATAACTTATAGTTGCTGGAATATAGGTCTTCACCATAAATTATCATGAAAAAACTAAGTCCAACTTAAGGAAAAAATACGGAAAAATTTGAATTTTTTTTTTCAAAATCATACTTGGGATATAAATTTTTATCCATACTGAATATTGTGTCCAAATTTCAAGAAGACTGAATAAAATTTGAGAAAGTTATTGCAGTTTATAAAACTTTGACATTTGGGTTAACCAAAAGTTGGACGCCGACGACGACGACGACGACGACGGAATCTATGGTCGCTATGTCTCGCTTCGCGACATTCGTCGCAGGCGAGACAACAAGGCAATACGTTGGTACATGTACAATCATCACAATCATATCAGCTAATGGAAGCATTTCAAAAGTGAACAAAAGAGGTATAAACTACAGTAATCGTCAGGTCTATAATGGCATATACATCAAGATTCTAATTACCACTGGAGGCCTTTTGATTAACTGTCTGATAACCCCTGATGTCTACATTCAGCTTCTCGGTTACTTCTACATCTTCCTCAGCGATGCTGTTTGAACCATTTTCATGCTCTGAATAATATTTTGCATTTCAACAAGAGTGAAAAAAAATAGCACAAAATCAAAATATGAATGCATTAACCCATTTTAATTGATTATTAATAAAATTATCTATTTTAACTCTACATATTGAAAGCACAGTCACTACTCATGGCTGTCTTTAGTACATGGATATTTTCTTGGCCCTGAATGCTTTTTTCTTAAATTTCTCTTTCTCTACAGCAAATTATGGTTCTGCCTTCAGTTTCTATGGACAATCAATACAGTGGTAAGCAACTTTTAATACCGCCATCATATTCAAAATGACTTCATTAGGATTGATTGTATTTCACAGTGCGATGAATGGCCCAGATTAAGATTAATGAGACGACCATCCCCAGCTAACAACAGATCAATACCACTGATCAATGGCCCTGATCTATTACCTTGGATGAGATGTTTCAAAGCCAATTCCGGGAACGCAAGTTTCCAGTTGGACGGATTTTTGTCAGGCCTTTCTCTGATTGGATGATCATGTTTATGGTAGGTAAATCCGCCACCAGTCTTCATGATGCGATCAATGTGATAGCTTTAAAAATAAGGGGAAAAGGGTATAGGAAGCATACCAATATATTTATAAATAGGAAGACAAATTGAGGATGACCACAAAAAAAAACCACAAAAAATAATTACTAAGTCTAGAGTGCAACCACCAGAATATTGTGCAGCCAACCTCACAAATTTGTATTTTTAATTAAAAATATCTAAAAGGCAAAAAATGTAAATACTTCACTTAAATAAGTCTGAATAATTTCCCATTCAACAACTGAATATCATGCTAGTTACTACATGTATAAACATTTGTTAATTTTCTGATACATGATAAAACTGATCTCTTTATGAGATAATTAAACTTTTGAACACAATTATACTAGACATCCAATTACAAAGCAAACACAAGAAATCTCTCATAAAAGTATTCAGTGACAAGGTATTGGGAGAAATTTTGCAGTTTGTTCCAGACCAGTTCATTGCATTTTTCCCATTTATAAGGGTATGAACCTTGAATCAATGATCATATTAAAATAAAATAAAAATACAGTATAATTTTCCAAGCCACTTATTTCTTTTCATTTTTTTCTTTGTATTAATATTACAAAAAAAGAATAATAAAATGAAAGAATTCTATCTGAATTGTCAACTTATTTCATTGACTTCGAAATCCATTCCAATTTGGGTAGAAGATGGACATGACAATCACTTTATGTTCTAGTCAAATACATTGAGGGACTTATTCAATACAGGTCCAAGATTTCCAAGAAATTAAAATGTACTAAAAGGATCATAAAATGTACTAAAAAGATCATATATATGCTTAATTGTAGGTACAATTCAAAATAAAGTTTACATTACATTACTTACTGTGGAGCAGAGCTGCGTTCACAACCATAACACAGGCCTGACCTCCGACAGCCCATACAGAATCCAGGAAAGTTGTAAACCCTCTCCCGTTTGTCTGTCTGTGCATAGTAACGCTGTTGGACCAGGGCCTGATGAACAATCTGAAAGTATCTCTTAGGCTCTGCCAGCAGGTCATGATGAAGGAAGGACAGAGAAGGCACTTGCGGCAGCTGGTTTAAGCTTGCACAAAAAGATTTTTTTAAAATAACTGAAATGCTGTATATGGCATACCAGGGGATTATTATTTTAATCTTTACTAAATGAATGTAAGAATTTCTCACATTGTGAAGAAACTAAAATTGAAATTTATTTTCCATTATTTGTTGTTTTTTTTTAATTGAAAAAAAAAAATCAAATACACAGCTTTAAATTTTTGCTTGTTACGTTTGGGGTTCAAAGCTTAATGTATGCAAAAAATAAAAAAAATAAAATAAAACTGTTATTATACCTCTCAGCAACAAATGCTACATCATTAACATCAAGTTCCTGTGAAAAAAAAAAGAATTGCTTGAACAAACCCATGAATGAGATAGGATTACAAACAGTAAAAGATACAATTATCACCACTGCCATCAAAATATCAGAAAAAGAAAAATAAGGTGCAATACAATTAACACATTGAGAAGTCCAAAAGGGGGTAAGGCATACAATATTTTATAAATACCCACTTTTTCACAGTTTTACCTTACAAATGAATCAAGGTCTCATGATACAGACTTATAAGTGAAACAAGAGATGTTTGTAAAACACTTATGCCCCCCTCCCCCTAAATTGAAATTTTTCTAAGTCCAAAAGGGCATAACTCTGTCAAAAATGGTGCGATTATACCCAAAATAAAACTTGACAAAGACATTTTGATAAATCTGTGTACCAAATTTCATCTCAGTATGTGCAACCTCTACAAAGAAAATGAACGAAAACTGCAAATAATTGGAATTTTTCTAAGTCCAAGGGACATAACTCTGTCAAAATTGGTACCCAAAACAGAACTTGACTTAGATATTCATGTAAAATATCAGTAAAATTTCAGTATGTACAACTGTTGCAAAGAAAATGAATGGAAACTGCAAATAATATTGAAATTTTTCCAAGTCTAAGGGGCATAACTCTGTCAATAAAGTGCCCCTCCACAGCATGATACGCCCGTCAAATTGTTCAATAATCATAAATTGGTTGGGATGCAAGAAAATCAGGTAACCTTGTTTAACAGAGTGACACATGCAGATTTCAGTGATCTAATTTCCATTTCTTATCATGTTTAAAATATTGTACATACATCTCTAAGAGACTTACAGAGTAGGGATTAATTATAACAAATAAAACATCATATAATTCTAAACTGGCTGTGTTAGAGCTTAACAAATATCCATCTGCAGCTTTAAATTGTTAATTGCCTATTTTATGAAATAATGGAAATGCTTCAGTCTAATAAAAAATCAAAAATAAATTATTCTTTAGACTATAAAATTCTAAGTGAGTCATGAATGCAATTTGTTGCAAATACTGAAATGTAATTTTTTTTTTCAATGAACACAAATACAATTAGTTTTAATTATAAATAATATTATACAATACTAATTTAGTTTTAATCATACACTAAAACATCAATTTGTTTTAATTACATTACATCAATTGAAAGATCTTTATCTGAACTATAGCCATCAAGAACTCTTAATTAACACAAGCAACTATGAGGCCATTTCTTTTTACCCAACTCCCAAGAGATAAATTAAGATAACACAGCTGCATGATCAGATCTAGAGATGCTCTTGCTTTACAATAAACTCATTAATTTCTCTCTAATTTGACGTGCAAATTTCTGCTATCAAAATTCTTCTTGACCAGTGCTTGATAATTATGCCCATGGGACAAACTGAATTCCTCTCAAAACATTAACATTTGTTACAGATTGCTGTAAAGTATATGAATATGAAAAAATAAGTTTTTACTTAATTTAATTAACATTTTTTAATAAGGATACAACTATATATTTACATTTTTTAGGATTATGAAATTTAAAATTTAAAAGACTTATTTTTTTTTTTAAATTTACTTAAATTAAAGGTCACAGTGACCTTGAAATAGACCACGACACACCTTCTACCATAGATGTATACTTTTGCCAAGTTTGAAAGCTCTTGGTCTAATAGTTTTCTAGTTATGAGCCAGACAGGATTTTTCCATATTTGGCTTTAGCATCTTTATTAAAGGTCAGAGCGACCTACTTTTTGTGTGTGACACACCGTCTATCCAAGAAGTATCAGCTGACAAAGTTTGATAATCCTAGGCCTAATAGTGTTCAAGTTATGAGCCGTACATGAATGGACAGATGGACATGAAGCCTATAACATAATATGTCCCATCTTAAGAAGGGTGTATAAAAATGGTGCGATCAGACCCAAAACAGAACTTAGCCTAGATATTCATGTGATATATCTGTATACCAAATTTCATTTCAATATGTGCAACGGTTGCAAAGAAAATGAATGGAAACTAAGTGGACCGACAGACAGACAGACCAACAGACAGCAGCAAAGCAATATGCCCTCCCTTCTTTGAAGGGGGGCATAAAAAGGCTGGTAAATAAATGTTTTGACAGGCAATAAATTACAATTAAGAGAATTAGAGAAGAGAGATCTTTCCTTCTGTTGTCGAATTCTCAGGAGATATAGATAACACATGATCAGAGATGCCCAACTTCCCACACTAAGCTCATTAATTATCTTTAAATGGATACATGTCAACTCATATCTCCTTAAGGACAAATGGATAGATTATAATTGGAATTTCTCTAAGTCCAAAGGGCATAACTCTGTAAAAAATGGCACCATCGTACCCAAAACAGAACTTGGCCTAGACATTCATCTGATAAATCTGTATACCAAATTTCATTTCAGTATGTGCAATGGTTGTGAAGAAAATGAACGGAAACTAAGTGGACCGACAGACCGACCAGCAGACAGCAGCAAAGCAATATGCCCTCCCTTCTTCAAAGGGGGGCATAAAAAAGAATGTGAATGGTTATTTCAAATACATGTAATAGCCTTAGGGTACACCTTCTGCTGTAATTTTCAACTTATTTGGTATTTACATAAAAAACATGATGCATATGTATGCACTTCAGCTAATTTTTTTTCCTACAGACTCACTTTATACTATACAATTAGTGTTGGCAAATCGGACGATTTTTAGTAACCGGTTACTCGCTCAATCTTCCGATCGAGTACCCGGTTACTCGGATGATTTAATCATATATATCATTTATCTCATCATTTACTCATCGGTAGTAATAAAACACAAAGATATTGTGAATGCTTAAAGCTACCCACGCACGCACTATCTTGAAAGAATTTTTATACGTGTATTTATAATTAAAAAATTAATTAAATCAGAAGAAAAAAATATTCAATGTTTCATGCTATTTTACAATGGCGTTCATCAGCTTTTACTTTTCGATTCCCGATATAATTATGTCCCAATCGAGGAGACTAATTATTTAGAAATTTGAAGTCACAACCGTACACGATAACTCAAATTCACATAAATTACATGTTACAGGTATCGAATCAGTTGTTCTTTTAAATACTTCCAAGCTATATATGTCTTTGGCGGCATCTTGTTAAATTTTTTAATGAGGTAATTATAACTCAGGTCTTCAAATCTTGTAAAACCTGCTGGCAATCAAAGTTATCAATTAACTGTGAAAACTAATCAAAACGAATCGATCGTATTAGTGAAACACTAGATCATTAAATCTAACGGTAAATAAAATCAGAGAAATGCTTTTGTATGTACGCTTATTAACAAATTAACATTTTATTTTTTAGTCATTAATTTTATTACTTTATAAGATGTATTTTTATCCGAGTAACCGAATAGCAGTTTTACTAACCGATACTCGCATCGTTCGACGGTTAACCGGTTAACCGGGTACTCGTTGCCAACACTATATACAATGGATTTTCTATCCTGGTGACAGCTAGCTAAGTTTTAATGCCTCTATAAAGAATAAGTCACTAGAAACCTTCAGTTCTGTTTTCACTTGAGTCACATATTTCTCTTCGTATCAAATTAATATTAAGATGAATAAATATAAGAATAAATCTGAAGCTCATTTTCTACAACTCTACAATATGGTCCCGCAATTTGATATTAGATTTAGAAAATAGCCTTCCTGTTCTTCAGTTAGTCTGCATAATTATATACATGCATTTAATGCAAAATCTAGAACCTTCCCAATACCAAGGGGCTGTGACTTAATTGCAAAAGCTGTGTTTACTAATGAACATGGTTGCCGATTAAAACAAGAAATTACCAGTAGTAGTTTTATGATTATCATATTTATCATTTCCATTACATAGAAAAATGATTTTATAATCTTTCTTATAGCAAACTCAGGAAGCACTGTACCGTTATGGTTTTATACCTTAGTCTTTGACCATAATGCTAGAGATCCCGTAATGCAAGTAAAGTGCAATTAACTTACTTTGCAAGATTTTCTGTGCAAAGCTGGGGATGTATTTGAATTTAGCCACTTTACAGCATCAGATGTTCAACTACTGGTACCTTTCATTCCCTACATCTATACATATCTTTATAACCAAGGCCAAAATAAAATTATAGTTTGTTTGGAATTGCCGCCCGCCTCATTAAAATACCCCCCGCTCAAAAAATTTTATTGGCAAAATATTAACAATATTTTTTTTATCGTCTTATCGTCTTACATTGTTTAGTACAAATTAGTTCGTTCGTCAAAATAGTTTTTTAAAGTCGGGTTTGAGCTCACATTAACTTAACAACTCGGGTCAATAAAACGCTTTCTTCGTAGTATGTATGATATAGCGATTATAGGTGGCGATTTGACAAAATAAAAGCCGCAAAATTGTCAGACCATGTTGGAAACATTCAAGCATTTTGTTGAAGAGTAGAACATTTATGCATCTCTATAAAAATAAAAGGGGAATAAAAAATTAAATGGAATGATACATCGATATCTTGAAAGAGCTTTTGTAATAGATTGCACATTGAACTTGATAAGTTAAGTCCGTCATGTTGAAAAAAAAATGATCGTTCAGTTCCCACTTAAAAAATTACATGGATCAGAAACGTTTTATCCCAAATACTAAAGGAAAAATGTTGTCTGTCAGTATGACAAGTCTTTGAAACGTAATGTTAAAACTGATGCATGGTGAAAACTCCCAAGAACGTACTTAATTGCAAAAGCACCCCCTCCCGGTTTTCCACAAAAGATCCCAACTATTCCTAAGAAATTTTGTGTGGTTCAAACTGTTTGCAAGCGTTGTCTTAATAAAGGGGTAAATTTCAAAGAGAAATACTACGAAATAGACTGATAAAAGTATTGTTTAATAAAGATTCTTAAAATAAACCAGAAGTTTGGTGCTGAAATTTAACTATTAATAAATGAACAGATCTTAACATCTAAATGAGATGAATATTTGAGTACCGTTCTGTGTATATCTTTTTTTTTCAAAATCGGACCAAATAATATTAATAAAATAAAAGAAAGAGGATAATAAATGGAAATTACCACTGTTCATTGAGATTTTATTTTTTTTTTATCATTTAGCTTCAATTTGTAAAAAAAAAAATAATAAAATCCCTCCCTCCCTCCTGGGTCTGAAAACCCCAAGGCGGCAATTCCAAACAAACATTTTTTTAAGGATGGCCCAACCTGTATATTTTTATCCACCTCTTAACCCTATATACATGTACCGGGTAGTCATCTCTACAGATAGATAAACTTTCTTGTTGTAAAATTCTGCCATCCAACAATAAATTCACAACAAGCAGATGTACATATATTGGTCTGAAGAGATGGCTGTAAAAGATAAGGAGGTCGATAAAATTTACAGTTTTATTATAAAATATGTCTAGAATTAGGGAATGAAAGATAGTTAATTGACCAATGCTTGAAAGTGGAGAATGTCTCCCCAAACATTAGCTGCAGAACTGTAGCTCTCTGCTTGAGAAAATTCGGACAGATAAAGCAGCGAGCTACAGATCCATGCGTTGTAAAAACCTTCAATTTACGCAACAGATTTTTATTTCTGGTTTTATTTCTTATATATTATGTTTTTCCAGCTTTATAAATGATATTCAATAATAAACCATGCTTTTAACTCCTATTCCTAAATTTTTATTTACCTTTCAACGGTTCAAGAAGGGCCATTTGTGGAAGTGGACATAAAGATGGGAATCTTTGTAAACCAACATTTCAAATCCATAGAGGACTGTTTAGGACCATTGAAAGGTAAATAAAGTATCAAATTCGATAACTGGATCAAAATATAGCTACTGAGTTCTGCAGCTATCCAAACGTCACTTATGTGTGCAGAAAATCTTGAGTCTTAAATTGCACCATATTTGCATTACGGGATCAGTAGCGTTATTGTCTGACAATAAAATATAAAACCATAACGCTTCAGTTGTGCAGCTACAAGCAACGTGAAGTGGTGCTTGTCACTGTGAGCTTATAACAGGTCCAGTACAATCTCCTGATTTAGCTATATAGCTTTAAATAGCTATATAGGCATTCAAAATAGCTTTATTTAGCTATTTTTATACAGTTTTTCACAAAAATGTTTTTTGCCGAAAATAAACAAAAAGTCGCATGCATTTGACTCTTCATAAATTTACTATGGGCTCTCTAAACAACAACCAAAATCCAAGATAGTTCTAACTTTGCAGCTTTTGAATACTTTTAAGCAAAAGGAGAAAGTATTAACCTTGGGTGAGAGCTTCTCATTGTGCTGAACTGTTACCAATCAATTATCTTGTTGAACATAATTGGTGTCCATTATAATATCATTGCAGAAGTAACTGTATCAATTGCTTTATATGCCCCAAAACTTGTAGAACATATTTGCATTTGATGAGTGAATTTTACATGCATTATTTCGGACAATAAAATATAAAACCTTTTTTGTATATACGAAAATTACACCTTAAGAAAAAAGTATGTAAAATAGCTAAATTAAGCTATACGTGCTTAATAAAGCTATATAGCTATTTAAAGCTATATAGCTTAATCAAGAGATTGTACTGGACCTGTATAAAGGAACACCAGAGCAAGAGAAAATATTGTACTTCACATTGATCCAAATATTTTTTTCTGCAGATACCTCTTGATCCCCAATCTTTTACAAGTTTTTCTGTATGCCAATTGCCTAGGAAATTGATTCCTCAAGCATACTGTATTTATATAAAACTTCTTGGAGATCAGTCTTAAAACTGGGGGAGGGGGTTGCAGAAAAACTTTCTTGCCAAGTTATTTCTTTCGTAGTATTTTGTTGCGGATTATGATAATTATCTACCAAAGACATATGAAACAATACAAACACTCACACACACACACACAAATGAGAAATTAAAAAAAAACAAAAAACAAAAACACCTCTGACTCCGAGTTTTGTGATTTTTTTTTCACATTTGTGATTCGAAAATTCATATTAAGAATTATTTCAATAGTTAAAACAGCGAGGAATTACCTACTGCTGCCCCTTATTCCTATTAAGTTATTGAAATACCTGTTTCATGAAAATTTCAGACCTAAAAACTTTTCAAAGTTTCCCTCTGCGTTTCAGAACCGGATAAACATAATTTTGCATGAATTGCCGGACTCTACACGTGCAGTTTATATATATATTTCCGGTTAATATATTTCGTCTCCTTGTTGAGCCCTGCTCACCATATGGCAGACTGACGGTTAAGTTTTTATTGAGCTATTTAATTTGCACCACTGTAACTGATAATAAATTTATATCTTGAAATTTAGAAAGCGAAAAATTTGGCCTAGCTGATTTTTGTGGTCACACAAGTCGGTTGATATATACCATATCTACTGTCTGTAGTTTCCCTTTGGTCATTTTTTTTTTTTTTTTTGAGACCTTTAAAAAAAATTAAACAGTCCATAATTTCCTCACCAATAACTGGTTTTTTAATGATTAATTTTAATGAAATATATCTTTTTTTTGGGGGGGGGGTTTCTTATATAATTTTGTTTAAAATTACTAATGTATGAGCGTTGGTTAAATTACAACAGTATTATAAACGTCCGTGAAAATTTCCTTAGTGCATACGTCCTATTAAACAAATACTACTGATCAGTTAAACTGTTATAGATAACATTTTCTGTTGATAAAGTCCGGTCTAAACTTTTAATGTAACATATTTACAATTTCTTAATTTTTTTCTACATCTAGTACTATAGTTTTGTTCAGACGTCTGCCTGCAAGGAAATTTAAACTTCAAGGCTAAAACAAGAAGGGTGGATTGAATCGATATAAGTTTGATATAAGTTTACGTCTAAACCTTGACTAGAGCATGATTTATCATTGTTTCTATGTGAAAATCCTGGTCACGGCACCAAATTTGTAACGGGAGAAAAAAGGTGAATGTCTGTTAACCGTTTAGCATACGGTTTGCCAAAGTACAGTGTAATTAGGTCACAAACATGTGAAATAAAGGCTAATTGTTAAATAAAATACAAAACACACAAGTTAAAAAAAACGTTCGGAGTATTTTTGCAAAATAAATTAAAGGTAAAGGTCATGTGGACTGTAGCATTGAGGTTTTTCATGATGTTTTATATCAAAAGTGCACTTGCGGAATATCTTGGTAACTATGGTATTTTACAAAAGTCAAAGTGTCAAGCAGTATATCTGCAAAATATCAAATCCATTCCTCTGACTGATTTCAAGATATAAGGTGTGACAGACGGAGAGACAGGCGAGTGGTATGTAGTGATTCCTGTTCTACAGGCGACATTAAAAGGAAGCAGATGAACAGAATTTGTTTACGTGGAACATCATAATTAAAAATTACCGTAACATTTTATTGAATTTTTTTTGTTTGATAACGAATACAACGAATGGTATTGCAAGAGTTATCTAATAACGCTGATTAAGAAATCTTTTCACCTTTTCCTCTCCGGGGCTCTTCTTTTTAGTTTTTAAAATGAAATTTAAAAAAGATATTTACAGTCTTAAGAGCCCTTACTGTATTAAATCTTCAACATGTTTTATTAATAGGCCTATGTGGATGGGCATTTAACCGATTTGTTTAATAAAGCTTTTAGATTGTGTGGTTCATGCACAGAGCTTTGCAAACATTAAATATTAAATGATATATACAAACAAACAAATGGATAGAGGATTCATTTTAATGCCACTTTGTACCAATTTATACTGGCGTGTAACAATGTAGTTGAAGAGTTCATGATGAACTTGACACACTTTAGAAAGAGGGTGTTCTCCAGAGATATTCAAAGAATTATATTATGACTTAGCTATCTTTAAATTGACTAAAGCATATTTCTATTATGAATAAAGAAAAAAGTTTTTACTGCCTTTTCTCACAAAGAAGATGAAGACATTTTTCATTTATAACGATGTTTACTTTAGAAAAATCCCTTATAGAGATATTTGCGATAGAACCACTGCTTTCAAAAACCCAAACATTATTTATACAATCGCAAAGGTTCGTCATTAAATTTCCCTTTAAATGAGTTCATTTTGGGTCCATGGTCCACCCAAAAGTTATTAAGTTTATTTTGCAGTCAATTTTTCCCCATAGAGAACGTGCGCTTGCACAATAAAAACCCACAAGAGTCACGTCTGGCGATTGTGGCATTTATATATAGTGTACACTCGATTGGTGCTTTGGGGCACCATGGATAAAAGGGACAGATAAAACAGTTTAATAAAGTACAATATTTATATTCATTGATTAATTATTTCAGAGAGAGAGAGAGAGAGATTGTTTAATTCCTGATTTTATCAGCATGGAATCAAACAGGAAATCAAGGAATTCAAATGACAATTAAAGAATACTACTATGTGTTAAGAGATAAGATGATTTTCTTTTCGGTCACAACCACAGTATATGAATTTATACATCATAAAAAGATACGGTTGCCAAGACCACACATACTTATACGTTGTATATTGATAAAAAAAAGTATACTGGTATATACTTACACTGAAACGAGGATGTGGAAAACTTCTAGACACGTCTTGCTCTCGCAGGGATTTTAATTTTAGCCTACTACGGGTGTTGGCTAGGGGTGGGGCTGCCCGAGAATAGTCTGGCCGGGCGGGATTGGGGGCCTTGGGGAGGCGCCACTCCTCTGGAAGTACAGCTTCATGAGAATTCTTCACATTCCACTCGGCTCTGTAGATCGCCTCTTGTAAGTAGGTAAATGTATCCAGTTTATTTCCAAGGCTGTCTCTCAGGACAATCCGAGGAAACCTTTTTTCCAATTTTCCGTTTCGTTCGGACCGTGACGGTGGCAGTCGAGATGTAGAAGGGGTTGCCCAGGGGCCCTCTCTGCTGAGGAGGGGGAGTTCAACACTCGGAGAAGACATGTCACGAAAATCCGCCCCAAACGCTCACAATTCTTATAAGTTCGTAAGAGAACTGCTGATACACATGTTTTAATCTTTACAGTATCTTGTGCTCTTTTATTAAATCTTCCGATGTAGGTGCATGCGCCAAGGAAATTTGACTGATTAAGCGGATGACAAGCACCCGGTAAAAAACGATTAGGAGTTTAAAGCAAAATTCTTTTCAGGCATAATACACAATATAAATAATTGAAAAATCTCCGGAAAATCAATTCCGGTGCGTTGTGAGCACAACTCGGAGAATGGACATCGGAGGTTTCCAGGGAGGGATGTAGTGATGTGTTTTACCTGTATTTTTCCCGCTAATTACAGGTAATCTTTCGGCCCCCCGCAGTCGTTATCAAACCTGGAATAAAAATGACAATTTTAAACGACAAGAAGAAAATTCATTAAGGGAATAAAGAGTGAACCCCGTGGAAAGTACACTGAGCCAATCAATACATGAATAATAATTATTATGTGGTTAAAAGTTAAACATATACACAGTATAGGGTGAAGAGATATTGATGTCTTTTACAAAATAAGCTCTAATGATCTACAGAAATTAATCAAATCGTTCTGCTTTTTTCCACCATCTAACCACATTGAGTGCTAAAGTGTTGATTACTCAGTATCTTGTTCCAGGGGAATTCAAAGGATATACTGTGTACTAGTATGTGATTAGAAATTGATTAAATTATGGATTGGCAGCAATTACCATATACAGTATCAGATCAAATCATTTGCGAATTCTCTTTAAGTAGTTAATAATTAAAATGATGATATATCCATTCTTCCATAATTATCATTAGTATGTCGGTATTTAATGTCGAGTCGTCGTCAGTTTTAGAACTTTCTTTTCAATATACATCTAAATCGTAGGCGTTGTCTATGAAAAGCACTGTTTGGGTCTCTATACACAAAACTACACTTTGCAAATTTACTTTCATTTGATATGCTTACCTTTAAAGATGTTTTCTAACAAATCTCTTGCATCAACAGTCAGAACCATCGATCAATTCATATATTTTTTTAAATATGATAAATTAATGCCGTGTAGCCAGGTGCGAAATGTAAACACATGAATACATTGACTATAGCCCTGAGACTCTCAATCTAACATTGCATTTATCTGTCGAATTTTATTGAACAGCACACTCAAAATGTCAAAAATTCGATAGCTTAATAATAAACAAATCTAATCTTTCGATGGCCATTTTGAGGACACCCATCCCGTGTGCGTAGTTACTTTATTTTATTGTGCAAATACGTCATAAAAACACAGGTACCCGAAGAAAGAATGTAAAATCTTTCTTGGGGTACTTTTTTTACATTGGAGTAAATAATTTTGATTACTCGTCTTTTATACATGTAACATTCCGGTGTTTGTACGATGCATTATTTTGTCTACAAATAGTGAACTTAAAAAGCTCTTAAAATCATGTAATGAAGCATAATTTTACATCATAAACGTTGAAAAAATTCTCTGCATATAAAAAGAAAATCATATAAGTGCTTTATATTTACATATTGTGAGTATAAATTATGATCAATCAAATACCCCTCCCCTTTCTTAATTTTATTGTTAAAATATTATATTTATATAAACTCCTAGATTTACTGATACACTTCTAAATGTGCACTCTGTGATATCACACTTGAGTCATTTTTACCAAACTCAAAAAAATTATATCATATAAAAATTGTGAAAAAGAAAAATTTGACACTCAGTGGAACAGGTGGAACAAACTCTCTCTCTCTCTCTCTCTCTCTCTCTCTCTCTCTCTCTTTCTCTCTCTTGTAAGTATATACATGAACAATCCAGTAATGAATATTTTGTATACATTGAGTTGTGTTGGAAAAAATAAAATAAAAAGTTAACAAACAGACCAGGCACGTTGTTCATACGAATATAAACGACATGGGGTCTGGGGCCGCAATTGGTGCATGGGACTCGGGACGCAAGGCCCCCCCCCCACCCCAACCCAAGATACTAGCTCTCAGAGTTTTACGTTTTCAACCATTTTATAAGGGTGAGGGTCATTTTATTTCGCTTTCATTTACAAAATAAGCCTTCGTTATATTGCTTTTAAAAGGTGATTATTGTGGGAAAAAGGTAATTCTCATGTGTACATCATATTATTTCTCAGAGACTTAACAAAACATTTTTTTCAAACTTTCTGTTAAAGAGAAAAAAAAAGGGTAACATAAAGACAATATACAGTTAAAGTATACCATTGAAGGAGTTAGCAAGATTCCAGTTTCCCAAGGTCAGGACTATTTCCCGAGGCGCAACCGAGGCAGAGATTAGCTTATTTGACTAAAGGGATTAGCTCATTTGGCTAACGCACGGAGATTAGTCCATTTACAGTGATTTCTAGGGAATTATTCACATTTTCCTATTTAATTTTTATATAGGGAAAAATCAGTAGAGGTATGTATCCTATTTCTGTGTTGGACTGAGATGGAAGCATATATAATTTTGCTATTAGATTCGACAAAAAGATTTTTGATTCTAAGAACGGAAGTGGGTTCGAACATACTACAACTAAAAGTGGTGGTGGGGGATTGGACTTTTAAACATTAAAACTCTATTTTATTAAACTAGTTACGTGTATACAAAATATATTTTATCAGAAAAGCACCCCCTCCTCCTTGTACCATGTGCAACAGACTAATAAATTTGAAATTAGAAAAAGAATGGAAAGTATTGATTGCCAAGAATTTTAATGAGTATTAAGTTCGGAAATCCCTTTATATTGAAATAACACAATTCAAAACACGTGCAGAACGTGTAGGAACGAGAAATTCTTTAGTCAAATTCTCGATGTCACATCACTTAAGAAATAAATCAAAGAATACAATATGCCAGCACGCTACCCCCTTACTCCAGATAACAAATCTATAATGCAGCTGTCCATTGTTTCCGAATTCAATACCTTTCGAACACTCGATTGCTATGGAATTCCATTGCCTTTCAATTTAATGAATATGTACTATCGGTCAGGTTCCGTAAGTGCTATGTAAGAGACGGAAACGGCATGCAATCATCCATAGAGTCGTGCTCTTTGCATGCAATACACAAAGATTTTCAATGACAAAGTTCGCTCTTCAGGTGCTTGTCCGAACTCCTTCAGAATGAGATAGGAAGCTACATATATTGATGGTTTTACAGGAATTTTCATTTATCAAGTTTGCACATTACGAACGCTATTTGTATATAATTAGTGGAGATATTTATCGAAGCTTTCCTATATAATTCCTTTCTTATAGGAAAAATTAAGCAACCGAATCAGTCGACATTATCCAAGGCGACAATGCAGAGAACAATGACCGATGTAGACCATAATACATTATTTTCACATTTTGTGTCCTTTCTATTAATGTGATCATATACAATGCGTTAGAGTCGTGCTGTTGATTTCATTTTATTTTGTTTTATGAAAAGAAAAAAGGTAATTATGAACCATTGATCAAATAAGTCAAATCAATATCCTCATTATCAGAGATGAGAAAAAAGACGAATGGAAAACAATTCCCAACGCGCACCCAGTCTTTGATTCAAAATAGTATATATTTTTATTTGAAAATTAGATTTGTTATAATAATTTTGTTGCTTATAATAATAAAAAAACCCAACAAAACTTACCTTTATAGGGATATTCTCTACAGAGGCAGTAGAGGACTGCGTCTGATTTAAGTGTTTTATTGATATTACGTGTTCAAATTTCAATACACCTACAAACAACTGAAGCCGTGTCTTGCTAATGACAGTTTTAGCATAAATCTATTTAATCAGCAGGGAAAATTTTGAGTCTTTATTTACATTGCAAATTATTTTTTATTGACTTAGGTAAGCCTAACTCTATAATAGGAAATATTCATGATTAGTTTTCTCTCCATCTCTCCTTCCATCTCTCTCTCCCTTACGATGATTAGAAAAGAGCTTTTGAAAATTTTAGAAAGCGCTTATCGATACAAGTAGGTTTTTAATCAGTGACGACAGTTAAGAAAGACAAACTAGGGATTTAATAAGCATCATACACAAAATCTAAAACGGGAAATCGTTTGTAATCCATGAGTTGTAAAATCTGTAGATTAAAAGGACGACACTTCGTCGTGAACCAAGTCTGCTGAAAGAGAAGAAATGTGAGTTTGAGATGAGAGATATCGTACCTGTATAGCTATTCAATCCCACATGCACCTACAGAATTCTTTAAAATAAATTCAAATCTGAATCAAGCTGGCTCTGTACTTTATGCTGATATTATCAACGCAGGTCTGACTGGAAAAACGACAGTCTCTTCATTGTGTTTCTGTCGGTGAAACCCACTATAGATTTCATTTGTCTTTGTTCGACTTGTCAGTTTTGATTTTTGTATTTACGAGCGTACAACCTACCCGATGATACCCAGGGGTAATAAAAACTTTAAAAAGGTAGTTTAATTCAGTTCAAATTGTTACGAAACAAGCTCCCGTTTTCTCTCTTTGGTTTAAATGCCAACAAAAAGATATTGTATATCATAAATTTTATATCACCACGGAAGTTGTGTACATTACTGTTTTATTTACAGCAACTGTTTTGAACATAGTAATAAATTATTTCAATGGTTGTTTTGTTAGACATCTTTCTTCGACGGGCTAGCTTTTGCTTATAGGAATCAGATACCAGAATTGATTTGGATGAAAATATTGTATGAATGGTTTATTATTCACAGTATAAGTAAACATTCTTTGATTGCTTTGACAACGATTCGCGCTTTGACAACCATTCGTGTCCATTTTACGTGGAGGGGTATAATACACAATTAATAAAATAAATATTAGTGATAATTTACTGCAGAATAGAATCTTGGTAAAAATCCCAAGTATCGTGTCGTAAATTTTGAATTTACGGGGGGGGGGGGGGGGGGGTAAATGCAAAATTTACAACAAATTTTTAACTACCATAGGTGGAGATAATTCAAAATTTGCAACATGATATTCATTATATGATATACATGAGTTGGACAGTGGCAAACTATGTATGATGCATTTATATTTTCGTGAAATTCTGGCATTAGATTCTATCTCAAAACATTGGAAGTATATTTATGATTTGTTTTTAATTAAAATATATCCCCTTTTAATGTTTATCGATTTAGATTTTAAAGCTTTATTAAAAGGAACTGTTAACTAAGTGGACTTGCATTTAAATATAGAATTTAAAGTGTGTGATCGTTCAGAATCCTTAAAGATACTGACGTATTTCCCAACCTACCCCAGAGTGGCTACAGTCATCCTTTATATCTCTATCCCCTCAAAATATAACCACTATATGAATAGAGAAAACATGCTCCCTCCCCCAATAATTCTGCTGATATATATAATACTATTTTGCTGTATGCTTGTGTTCCCTCAATAAAAACGTCTGATGACCCCCTTTTTTTTAATAGTTGATAGTGCCCTCCAACTGAAAATGAATGGCTGTGCCCCCCCCCCCCCCCTTTACGGGCCTGTCATGTGTGGCTAACCGGTAGACGAAGGAAGCATTTCCTCTCCTTTTGTTATTTCCAGTGGACTAATGTTTCCATAATATTACAATAAATTTAAATGATAGGATTTATTGATGAGATCGCGTTGATCAATGTTCTCTCGTTAACTACTTTTTCAGTGTATGACGATTTTTTCAATGAAATGATTAAGCGGTAAAGGTTTCAGTGACAGTTAATTTTCTTTTCGCCAATGTTTTGCGAGTAACTGAGATTATTTTTTTACGGATCTAATTCTGCATAAAATGATTGGCATCCGGATTCTGTAACGTGCACGGATCCTGCATTTGCATTCCTGCGGATGCTGAAATCAATTTGAGCATGCGCAATATGTATGTGTAGCAGTCGACAAGAGTGTTGTTGTTCCGAATGACATGAAAAATGGGATGTGGTGGCAGTTCGCTAGAAAGTGATAGTCCTACAGGATTAGTGTTACATAAAAGAGACAAAATAACCATTCATCTTCACGTAGGAAAAGATGTGAAGGTTCTGCCAACAAAACCGCAAGTAATCGTAGTGTTTGGTGAGTGCATACATGCGCTGCTAGGTTCACATGTTTATGATGTTATGGTTTGTAGGCCCTAAAAATAAGGAATTCAATTTTAAATTTTACAATTCTTTAATTAAGCACATACTCTATTTCCTTTAAGAATTAATCTGGGATCACCTAAAAGCTTCATTTTTTTATATGTGTTATTATATTGTTTCTCAAATTTATAATACATAATACAATCGTGTTGTTTAGACATTTATTGATACCTCATTAATAAATTGCAGCAGAATCATTTAAACTGTGTTCATGGATGTTCAATTAATGATGCTTGTCATATTCTTGAAAGATATAAAAACTAATTGACTAATGGAAAATCTTCAAGTATATTTTCTATAGTCACATAACAGTATTTTCCATAACACACAGCTAAACCAAACAATCTGAACATGTATATAGTAGAGGGGTATGTTCATATTGAAGATTTCCTTTCTTTCATTGTATTTAAATTGTCCACTTTGTGGACTAAAGGTTTGTCAGTCAATATGCTTTGTAAACTCTCCTTTTAAACAAGCTTAAAAATCAAAGGTTGTTTGAACAACACTATGATGCAAATGTTACTTTGATATGATTGAAGTTTTCTGAAGGAAAAAATCAATAATTCACCATTCTGAAGATTACCTTTATTAACAATATTATTTTGTTAATGAAGAAAATTAAGTTTCTTAGGTTTATTTTCAACTCAGTTCATTAATGTTATATACATTTATATCTAAGCCCTATCATTAAACACATCCTTTAAAATTCTAAGCTTTTATAATGAGCATACTCTGTATATTTTGTTTTTAAGGATCAATGCATTAAACTAAATCTGCTCACAGATGTATCAGAGAATTCACTAAGACTCTAGACTTGGTATTTTCACCTTGGAACTTAAAATAGTGAATGTGTGCAAAAAAATTATTTTAAAAATTTATATTAAGTCTTTTTGGTCCTTTACGGTATCTCTGCAAATATTTTATGATTAATATTATCTTTCTTCACAGGGGAAAAAGATACTATATTGAGAAATATTGCAAATTTAATTTATTCCATTTCAAATATATATACTTCCCATCTTTATATTTGATTTCATTTGGAACAAGTTAAGTTAAGTCTACTGCTTTACCATTTGTTTATAAGGAAGTCCATGGACAGTGTCTTGAAAGGTCAAAGAACAGGTGAGGCCAATGGCCCAATTTCTCATGAAGTGATGAAGTCATTTGAAATCTAGACTTTGAGTGAAAATAATTTAGACAGGCCTTTCAAAAATTGCCAATACCATTATATATGTAGAATTTTCCTCCAGCTAAAATAATTTATATACATGAAGTACCACCCAAAATTTTTAATGTGCATGTAATTAATCACTTCCACAACGACCACAAGGTACGTCCTTTTATTTTTGTAAAATATCTCTTGTCTTTAATCTTCCCTTTGGAAGCTCTGCTTGAGGCCATTAATATTGCCATGGGAAAAAATACTGCATGAATGAGATTGTTGATTATTAATTTTCACATTTAAGTTACATATACATGATATAGGATGTTATAATGTTATCATATGCAGTACATGTAAATCTTTGTAATGAGGCAAGCTATTTAGAAAAGTTCTATGAAAACCAAAAAGCACCTTCTTTAGTGCCAACTTACAAATTGATCCAAGATATGTAGACAGTGTTGATCAGGTATTACTGGTACATCATAAGGTAACATTTTCTTGTATAAGACATATTTTCATGCAATATAGTCAGCAGTCCAAAATGACTTGACAAAACTTTATCAATCATGTGGGAGCTAGGAAATGTTTCTATTCTTTGCCAGGGGAATGTCAGTATAGTTACGATTTTATTATTCTGTGAACTATCAACATCATCAAAATTAGATTGGTTTGTCTGTTGTGTAACAATGAACTGGTAAATGTTAAGTCCAAGTTGCATTTTACAGAATATTTGTGGGATGAGCTGCATGGGGCATCACACTATATTACATTGGGCCGTTTTCCAGCAGTATGCACATGTGATGGGTCCCTTTCCAGGCTTAAATGGAAGTCTACCAAATTTTTACTTCATCTCCCATCCACTGCTCTCCTGTCTACTGCTTTATTTAAAAAATCCACCCCTTGTCTAGAAGTTTGCTTGGGTTGTAGTTATTGAAACCACTTGATCATAAATTTTTGTGGGATTTTAAGATAATGCTTTTTGAATAAAGAGTACACAAAGTTATGAACACATTTTTAGCTCACCTGAGCCGAAGGCTCAAGTGAGCTTTTCTGATCACATTTTGTCCGGCGTCCGTCTGTCTGTCTGTAAACTTTTCACATTTTCGACTTCTTCTCAAGAACCGCTGGGCCAATTTCAACCAAACTTGCCACAAAGCATCCTTGAGTGAAGGGGATTCAAGTTTGTTCAAATAAAGGGCCACGCCCTCATTCAAGGGGAGATAATTGAGAATTAGTGAAAATTTGGTGGTATGTTTTAAAAAATCTTCTTCTCAAGAACCACTGTGCCAGGAGAGATGAAACTTATGGGGAAACATCCTCAGGTAGTGTAGATTTAAGTTTGTTCAAATCATGTCCCCCGGGGGTAGGGCGGGGCCACAATGGCCGACCAAAGTTTTATATAGAAAAATTCTTTAAAAATCTTCTTCTCAAGAACAGAAAAGCATAATTGCTCATATTTATATATAGAAGCATCCCCAGGTAGTGTAGATTCAAGTTTTCAAATCAAGACCCCCGGGGGTAGGGCGGGGCCACAATGGCCGACCAAAGTTTTATATAAAAATATATAGGAAAATTCTTTAAAAATCTTCTTAAGAACAGCAAAGCCATAATTGCTCATATTTATATGGAAGCATCCCCAGGTAGTGTAGATTCAAGTTTGTTCAAATCATGGTCCCCGGGGGTAGGGCGGGGCCACATTGGCCGACCAAAGTTTTATATAGAAATATATAGGAAAATTCTTTAAAAATCTTCTTCTTAAGAACAGCAAAGGCCATAATTGCTAATATTTATATGGAAGCATCCCCAGGTAGTGTAGATTCAAGTTTATTCAAATCATGACCCCCGGGGGTAGGGCGGGGCCACAATGGCCAACCAAAGTTTTATATAGAAATATATAGGAAAACTCTTTAAAAATCTTCTTCTCAAGAATAGCAAAGCCATAATTGCTCATATTTATATGGATGCATTCTCAGGTAGTGTAGATTCAAGTTTGTTCAAATCATGACCCCTGGGGGTAGGGCGGGGCCAAACTTTTGGATTTAAACTTTTCAATAGTAAACCAATTTCTACTTTTTCCTA